TCACTAGTTAACTAGTGAAAGTCTGTACAAACATACATATATACCCGCACGCAAGCTTTTGGGTTAATTGGCATGTTGGGTTTGCCTGCCTGGGGAGCTTGTCTCCTCCCCCTGCATCATTCCCAGGTCAAACCAAACTACCGGCAGTTGCAGTTGCAGTGCGTGCAGCAACGCAACACGAGACACACACCGTCACGTCAACCCCAACGCATTGGCTCACGCGCCAGGGTTTCTCGAAGCCCGAAATGGGAAGGAAGGACGTGAGGGGGGGACGGAGGGACCCCTTGAACCCTTGACCGGTGCCAGCACGGCGGCGGCTGGTACCGTGCCGATCGGTGGCTGATCGGCGGTGGGCAGAAAGGTGAGAAGCGTCTTGGGCAGACATAATCCCACCGCTCGACTTACACATGGAGAGGGAAAGAAGGTTCCGCCGAGGTACCGAGGCGAGGGGTTCTCAAGGTTGATTCGTGCAGTGTATTGACTGAATTGGAGTTGTGCTGTAAGTACGTCGTGCTGGGGTACGGATAACTATACCCGTGTCTTTCAACATGAGCGAGAGATATACCGGGAAGTGACGTCGAAGCTGCTATTCTACCTACCTACGCCATTAAGGAAGGAAGAGCAGAGTAGGTATATGTCTCTAGGGGTGGTGTTGTGTGACCCGAAACTCGGTCTGTCGTGCGAAGGACGTGCAGAAGAGGAAGCAATAAGACAAGATCGACCAAGAGAAGCCAAGTAGGGAGCAAAGCGAGTTGTGGGGAAAGAAACAACTGACATGTAGGCTCTTTCTTCATTCCCACAGCCAGGCTCTGTCCATAGGGCGGCTGTCCATTCAAGCTCAGTTTGTCACTCTCATGCCCGAAGGCTAAGCCACAACAACAAACAGCAGCATACACATTTAAAACACTTCCGACCCTGATCAACATCCCCAACGTACAACAACCAAACGGCACCGAGTAAGCAGAAAAAGGCTTACGATAGAAGCAAGCAACATACATCCGTTTTTCAACACCCACCACCCCCCGCCCCCTATGAATAACTCCGACGGAATCGACCCAGTTCATCCCACTTCACTACTAGTTAATCATTAACGAATCAAAAAAAGATCGAAAATCTCGCGTTGCGGAAGAAAAAAGCCGTACCACCAGTAAATGATAAGATGATACCTCCCCCCGGCGCTCCCACCCACACATCAAGAGAAAAAAAAACACGACCCAAGCCAAGCCAAGCCAAGCCAAGCCAAGCCTTCTTTCCTTCGAGTCCCCCCTGTATATGTATTTCATTCATTGCGGCCTTGAGCTCGCCATCTCGCCGTACCGCCCGCGGTGCTGTGTCGTGTCGTACGCCTGCAGCACCCTGGTTTGCGACTCGTCTGCCTGCGAGAAGGCATACCCGCGTTGCTTGCGCATGCGCTGCACCTGCCGGACCTTGCGAATGGCTTTTTGGAATTGCTCCATCCTGCACACGTAGTGAGTTAGTATCGATTATGGATAGGTATGGTATGGGGTTTATTTATTGGGGGTTGAAAACATACCTCGGCCGGTAATCCTGGATGTTGTACTTCTGGATCTCCTGCACATGGTGGTACGGCTCAGGCTTCCACAGCCGCTTGCTGAACTTCCACCCAAAATCTCTCGCCAAAGCGAGAATGGCCAGGGTAGGCATTTGGAGCCAGAAGGCCGGGCTGGTGAACAGTCGCGGGATGACCCCAAACCACTCCATCGAGAAATTGAGCATCGGGGCGACGGTGCCGTAGACGGCGACAAACACGACCCAGATGGCCATGCTTCCCGGGATGGCGATGACGTGATACTTGGTCCAGTTGTTGGTGACGAGCGCGGCTTTTCCGAGGACGGTGAGGAGGACGGCGCCGTACATGGCGGCACCCCAGACCCATTTGCCGGCGGGGAAGCTGTCTCGCTGGACGCCGTCGTAGATGTAGAAGGCGGAGCCGCCGAGGTAGAGGATGATGGAGTGGTAGACGGCGTTGAGGATCCAGGAGGTGAAGACGCTGGCCCGGAAGAAGCTGTTGGTCTGGCCGAGCCTGTACAGCTGCGGGTAGCGGTCGAGTAGCCGGGCGGAGACGAACTGGTCAAGAATACCGAGAACGAGAGGAGGGAGGACCGTGTAAAAGACGTTGTAGAAAGACAGTGTCCAGGATTCGTAGATGACCTCACCAGAGAAGACGTTTTGGAAGACGTACTGTTCCTAGTTAGCGCGCGCCGCGTGGTACCAACAGAAGAGTGCGAGGGGGGACATACCCAAAACTGTGTGAGATAGAGGGCGATGTTCTTGTAGAAGGAAAACAGGATGGTTTTAGCAACGCGATGGTAGCTCCACGCGCCATGGACTAGGAGTAGCTTGCGGAGGAAGCGGAACTGGGCAATCGACACATCGGCGCTGCGCGCGGCTTGGAGACCCTCCATACCGCTGATACCGATGCCGATGTGGGCGGCCTGAATCATAGAGACATCGTTCGCTCCATCGCCGATGGCGAGGAGGATGGACTCCTTCTGGTACTTCTTGACCAGCTTTACCACCATAGCCTTTTGAAGGGGTGAGACGCGGCAACAAATGACTGCTTTGCACTTAACAGCGAGGTCAAGGAAGAGCTTCTCGAGGTCCTTCTCCAGCGCGTACGTCAATGACTTGCCGTCGATGACAAGGGCTAGGGTCCCTATTTCAATGGTGCCATCACCCTGGTTGTGGATGGCATCCAGCTTCTTTTGCAGGTTGTCTCTCGTCGCATCGGCACTCTCCTCGTTGACAATAAGAAGCATCATGTCTTCGCTGAGCAGCTTGCAGCTCATGCCGATGTTGATGGCAGTTTCCTGTCTGTCGCCAGTCAAAACCCAGACCTTGATGCCGGCCTCTTGGAGGGTGTGGATCGTCTCTGGGACGCCGTCCTGCAGCCGATCTTCGATGGCCGTGGCGCCGAGGAGGTAAAAGTCCTTCTCGATGAGCTCGGCGGCCTTGTCCAGCTCTTCAGCACGATTACCACTGACGGTCGTTTGCGCCTTGTCGTAGACCTGATACCACTCCTGGAACTCGTGCTCCGAGACCTCGCGCATGGCCAAGCATAGCGTCCGCAATCCTTCAGAGGCGTATTCTTCGAGGTGGCGGAGGGTGGCTTCGACGTGCGGGTTGTTATCATTCAGACGCTCGAGGATGACAGTGTCTGCACCCTTGGTGTAGCACCGGACCTTTCCGTCGGGACAGCGGTAAATAGTCGACATCCTTTTCCGGGTCGAGTTGAATTCGCAGACAGCCAGAAGCTCGTACTCCAGTTGTTCCCCGTTGACCTCGATGATGACAGCACGTGGTTTGCGGGCGAAGAACTTGTAGCCTAGTTGCAGCGCCCCGTCGACGAGGGCCCCCTCGTCAGGGGAGGCGGCCTGGTACTTGATCTCGCCCGACTCGTTCCGCTCCGGAATCACAGTGTGACAAACGGCAAGCAGTGTGAGGAAGTGATGGATAGCTTGCGCGCTCGGATGCTCCTCGAGGTTCTTCTTCAGTTGCTTAAACTCATGGATGCCAACCTCGACGCCGTCCTCAATGGTTGCAACACGGTCCTCGGGGACGGTCTCGGCATACATGATGCCAGCAATAGAGGACGCCTTAAACTCCATCTGGTTGCAGGTTAGGGTCCCCGTCTTGTCCGAGAAGACGTATTCGACCATGCCGAGTTCCTCCACCAAGCTGGAGGTGCGGCAGTTGGCAGGCGTGTCGGTGACGTCGTGGTAAATATCCAGGTCGTCGTTGATGAGGATGCCGTGCCAGTACTTGACCATCTCGAGGGTGACGAAGAGCGAGATGGGGACCAGGGCGGAGAAAAGTACCCAGTAGGTGACCATGTCTTTGACAAAAATGCGAGCGATGGCGGCGGCGCCGTCCAACTCCTCTAGGGCGAGATATTTGAGGGAGTCGCCGGAAACACGGCGCATGATCAGGTCGCCGGCGGTCGAGATGACACTAAGGACAAGTAGCATGCCAACCAGGGCCAAAACAAGTTTGTTCAACTGCCTCTCGACTTTGGTCCGCTTAATGGGCGCCGCGGTCGCATTTCGCATGAGTTTAGTCTCATGGCCGGTAAAGACGACAACTCCGTGGATCCAGGGGGTGTTCCGCAGAGTGGCGCCACGGAGAAGAAGCTGCTCCGGGTTTAGGGACAGTTCCTTTTCCCCTCCGCCCGCCTGCATGGTAAGGGTGGCTTCGTACGTGTACAGACTGCTGTTGGGTTGCTCGGAGCGGAGTCTGCCGCCAAGCCGGCTGACCTCGGTCGAGCTCACCATCGATGAGGTTTCGGGAAGCGCCTGCTTGATTTTGAGGTTGGTCTCTCCATCAAGGTTGGCCGTCTCAATGTAGCACAGGCCCTCGGGCTCGGAGCTTGCTAGAAGCACGAGATCGGCTGGAAACGGCTCCTCGGACTCGACCCGGACGATATCACCGACGGCGACGTTGATCCACTTCGTCTCCTCAAAGCTAGAGCCGCGCAAAACGCGGGCCTTTGACATGTTGAGGGACTTATCGGCCTGCTTCCGGCGATAATCCTCCACCAACTCTTTGCCTGCTGATACCAACAACACCACAATAAGGGGCCCGATGGTGGTGTATTGGTTGGTAGGCGAAAGTCCTGGAATTTGCTGCAACCCGGCAGTGAATAAGAAGAAGATATTGGCGAATTTGGAGAACTGCTCGAAGAGGAATTTGAGGGGGAAGGTCGCGATATTGTACTTGGCCGTCGAGACGTGGTTGTCGACGTACTTGTTGGCGGCGTTCGCGGGGGGGTTGTTGAGGTGGATGATGCGGGGTCCAAGCGTAGATGGATCGACCTTTGCGCGCCCAAAGCCAAACTTGAAGTTGCCCATGTCGAACTTCTTCTCTTTTGGCGGGGGCGGCGCCCCGGCCGTGTCTGTCCGACCTCCGGGTCCAGCCCCGGGCCCGGCCCCAGCTCGCGGATCTGTTAATGGGAGGTCCATCTCCGAGTAACCCTGACCCATCCCGAGCCTGTTTTTTACCCTCCCGAGGAACCCGCCGCCCAAGCTCAGAACGCTGTTCCGTTTCCTCGCATCTTGCACCGCTGCCGATGAGCTACCACCGGCCATAGCCCCCCCTTGTTGGTAATACCCGCCATCATCGGGATAATCGTCGAAGTCATCGGCATATCTCTGGTAGTTGCCCAGGTCTGATGTTTGGCTATACTGTCGGTGGATTTCCGGACCGTAGGGCCCAACGGGGCGCGACGTGGAACCCAATGAGGGCCCGGAAGGTGGCGGCCTTCCGGCGGGGGGTCGGGACTGGCCGGAGCCGACAAAGTCGTCGTAGGACACGGAAGGTCGCGACGGCGCGGCGGTACCTTGGTCGTAGGCGTACGAGTTGAGGAGATCATCGTCGTTCAGGGCCGAGCGTTGCCCTGTGCTGTAAACGGGTTGGTCATTGTCAAGATCGAGGAGGAGGTCGTTTCGGGAGGCTGAAGAGCCCCCCGGGGGTGGGCGACCGGTCATGCCGGAGGGCGGCGCCGCTCAGGGCAAATCGGTCGGAGGGGAGGGGAGGATCAGGCGCGGCGCTCGGGCATTGATGGATGCTAAGACCTGCGTAGAAAAAGACACACAAAGGCCAAAATACCGTTGGAATTCGGCGAGAACGGGGAGGTTGTCGGCAGATGTCGAGGGGATGATGCGTCGTGTTTGTTGCAAGCACAGCCTCCTTTCAGTAAAAAGGATTGCGAATTGGGGGATCCTGGGCAGCAGCGCTTCTTGGCTTCGTCAGCCGCAACCTTGCAGGGTGTTTGGTCGAACTTGCAGACGCCTCCAACAAAGGACAAAACTCGGCTCTCAAAGCCAATCAGAAGAGACCAATATGTTATTTAACAGCCGCGCCCCCGGGTATGTGGCTGCGCGGGCGGGAGAATGTGAGTTGCAGTTGTTGGTTTGCGCCTTGGTGTTGAGAAGTGATAAACTTGAAGTCGATACGAGAGAAGAGGGCCCGGGCCCGATGTTCGATGCAAAAGCACCAAGGGGCTCCGCTGGAGGCTGATCGAGGACTTGGCACACGATTGGCTCAAACCCAAGGACGTCACTCCACTGGCGAGACCTGGGAGCGTTGAAAAGCGTTGCTCTGAAGAACAGTGTTTCGGACGGTCGGTTGGCCAATCAGAATGCCGCTACCCATTTGATCCCCGTGCAGGGGAACTGCCACTGGTTTGAGGTGACGAATCATCTAATAACTTAGCCACAGCATGCACAGGCTACCAAGCACTTGTCCTCCTTCCCCTGGGCCAAGTTTGCCTTGTGCGTCTTACAAGGCCAGCACCGCCTCTAATTTACAACGTCACCAAGATCTTCAATTTGACATCTGTTTCATCAGGGGCACGACTATCTGGACCTGCAAATTAGAAACAGCACAGCACCGCCCATCTAATCTAATCAATAGCTCTCAAAATGGTCTGCGCAAAGTGCCAGAAACTCAACAAGACCACCCTCGCCACGCCCGGGGTCAAGAAGAAGGCCGAAATGTATTATGGCTCCGCCGCATCGGCATCTTCGTCGGGTGCGAAGAAGTCGGCCACTCTCGGGCAGACAGGAATCTCAAAAGTAAGCATCTGAAATTAGACTTGGCGATCGACATAGGAAGCTAACCTTCCGACAGAGCAAGCTGCTTTCCAAAGCGGCCAAGAACCCTTACGCCCAGTATTCCAGCTCTTGCGGCCGGTGCAAGACCAAGATAGCCCAGGGGCACACGTACTGCAACCAGTGCGCCTACCGTGACGATGGTGAATCAAGATGGTGTTTCCATTGCTATATCTACAGCTACTGACATAGAAATAGCCTGCCACATCTGCGGCAAGCCGAACAAGAAAAAGACGGCCGTGCCGACTGTCGACGGCCAGAAGCGGACTTTTAAGTGATTGAGCGGTTCATGCCTGGTCCCGCAGATCAGGGCCGTAGCTTCCGACGAAACGTCTTGCATATAGGGCGCATCGCTTGAGACTGAACAGCCTTGCCCTGGGGTGTCACCCACAAATGACCACGATGCAAGCTAGACGGCGTGCAACGCTACGAGGGGGCCGTGGAGATTATCGGAGGTGTGTTATTATTCCCAGTATATTTGGATTGTTTCTATATTAAGTTTAAAAGCCCGAGGAGAGGTTACACGACCGCAGCGTGTGCTCGACGGAGACTTGGTACGGAGCCCCAGGTTGGTGCGGAGCCGCTGTCAGTTGTAGTTCCATATGCACTGTACATACAGATTGGATTAGATGAAAGGCTGGAAAGCCGGGAACGGATTTATAAGGTCCCGACATGTATCTAGAGTATTGTCACCCACGACCCGACTTTATAATGGCTACATCAAATGAAGAAATGAATGACGAACGATAGGATCGAGTAACGGTGGCACACACCAAAGGCCATGTTTTGACATTCAGACGGTGCTCGCGGCAACAATAATACAACCAAACCATCCCACTAGTGCATACAACCCAATCATTTCTACATCGAAGCCTTCAGAGGCTGGTCCTTCAGGATGACCGCCAAGAACTCGCTGATATGCTTGTTCGTGTCCGCTGCCGCCTCCCATAGCGCCCAGTGCGACGCATTCACTTCCTTCTTGACAAGATCGGTGCAGAGATCGTCCATGCTCGCCGACATGGCCGGCGGCAGGGCAGCATCCCGGGTAGCCACCACCATCAGCGCCGGCACGGTGACCTTGGTCCTGCCCTGCTCCAGCAGCGGCCGCTCCTCATCAAAGTTGACCTTGCCGTTCTTGTACCAGCACAGCGGGCCGCGCATGCCGTTCTTGAGGTACTCATCGGCGTAGAAATCCATCTCTTCCCTGCTCACCAGCGGGCTCTCCCCAATCTTAGCCGGCTCCAACAAACCCACCTCCAACCCCTTCGCCACCCCAAACACCGGCTGCCCATCCTCCCTTCTCGCCCCATACATAACACTCAAAAACGCCCTGATCTTCTCCCTCCCCACCACGGCCTCGTCAACCTCCGTCCCCTCAAACTGCACCTGATACCCAAAATTCGGCAGCAGCTGCACAATCTGCTGCTTGGTATAAAACTTCTCGGGCACCGTCCAAAACGGGGTACACACACTGAACACGCCCCTCAACACCTCCGGATACCACAGCGCAAACCGCCACGCCACCGCTCCACCCCAATCATGGCCCCCCAAAACAAACTTCTCCACCTCCTCCTCCTCCCCCTTCCCCTGCACCCGCCTCACCACCGCCAGCAGATCCTCCACCACTCGCTTGTACGAGTACGCCGCGATGTCCGCCGGCGCGTCGCTGCGCCCGAAGCCGGGCAGGTCGGGCACGATGACGCGCAGGCCCTGGGCGGTCAGGTGCGGGACCTGGTAGCGCCAGCCGAAGGAGAGGTCGGGGAAGCCGTGGATGAGCAGGGCGGTGCCGGTGGTGGGGGTGCCGGAGGGCGGCTCGGCCAGCAGGTAGTGGTAGGTGGTGTTGTGGGGGGAGGCGGGGATGGTGTAAGTGTGGTGCTGGACGCGGGGGTCGGTGGGGGTGAGTTTGTCGATGGGTGCGGCCATTGTGATGGGGTTGGTTTGTTGGGTTGGTGTGTGTGTGTGATGTGAATATTGTTTTTTTGATGAGGTGGGTAGTAGGTAGAATTGTTTATGAGTGTGAGGTAGGTAGGGGTGGGGAGGTGGGGGGGTATTAAGTACGAGCTAGGGGATTCGTGCCCCTTTTATGCGAAACGAGGATCCGTGAGGGGCATCCGGTATATTTCGCCTGAAAAAGACAAGAGGGATCAGTTTGCGACGAGGTGAAAGTCAATTGGTAAAGACGGTGTGGCTATGGATCCGGCTTGCCCTGTGAAACATGGAATCTACATGTAAGTACGTATGATTACCTCCACTTTGATGCATCCGGGACGGAGCGGGTTTGACACCCAAGACCTTTTAGAAGTGTGCTTGACGAAAGCTATCCCAAACGGGCAAGAGGAAGACCTCTTCCACTCCCCCCGCCACGGCGTTCACCGAGTGCCGCGGCGAGAGAAACGGCCAATGCGTCATAACCCCCACCTGCTTGGGTAGGTTTCTGTGCTGGCCCCTTGCGACTGCAGCAAAGGCCCGATCAGTAATACATAGAATATACGGGCTACGCAAACTTGCCGACAAGTTCCGGCGAAACCAGAAGACGGGGTGCGGTGTTACGTGCAAAATGCAACATGGGTCGGAGCGGCGCAGACGCGAGACTTACGTGCCTCCTGGTCAAACTTGTCTGTACACTCCATGCATACCTACCTACCTAAGGTAGTATACATCTACGCGTCTCAACTCCGAAGGCCCCTCGCTAAAGGTAGCGGGTCCGCATGCACAGCATGCCGAGACCAGGCGACACCGACCCACTACCACCCTCTTATGCGCTCAGCCAACTAAGTGATCTCGTCCTAGGAATCATCCTCACGCGGTGCTTAGGACTAGTCGATCTACCTAGTATGTACCTTAGCTATGACCAGCTTAAGAAGGGGATACCACAAACGACATGTTTTGGATGCCCTTGGCCGCTTGATAGCTCTACACCTCTAAACTTATACCGGAACGGAGAACCGGAACACCGCCGTCTCCACCGCAGTCTCCCGAATCCCGCTTTGCCCCGAATCCCGTTTTTTTCTGTCTTCGCCGCTTACCTCGTATGCATGACTCTCCCCGCGGCAACATCCGACATGACGCCCCTGTCGTTACCCCCGTGTCGTTACCCCCGAACGCCGCAGCACCACCCCAAGATAACGCTAGACATATACGCTACCCCCCCTCCACTCCCCCGGTGACACAAGGCGCTACACTTATAATCGACGCCGGCGCGGAAAAACGAAGAGCAGGTACCAGGATGACACACACCAAGGTTAGTAAATCACTATGTCCTCCTTGTCCTGCATCATCTCGTCTCCGTGCTCGTCGTGATCCTTATCAGGGTGAGAGTCTCGCGCCTTGGGGGGCGTGGGTGCCAGAGCACCGGGGTTAGTATCTTGCGGCGGAGGGTTGGGCTCACCAACCGTGGCTTCTTCTGGATGGGAACCAGCCTTCGGTCCCGAGTCTTCCTCCCGCTCGGGTCGGTGCCTTGGCTGCTCTCGTGGGGGAGGCGACGGTGACCGTGGAGACGGTGTGACTCCGAGTGCCCTGAGTCGCTGCTCTCTACGCGTTTTGAAGTCCCGTCTCTCTCTGTCTATAGCTTCCTGTACGGCGTGGACCTGGTCGCTAATGATATCTTCCTGCTCTTTGGTGGGCTCCCACGGGACGTAGTACTATGAACGGTCAGCCGAGCTGCATGTAAGTGCGGGAGTAATATATCTACTTACAATCCTGGGCTCGCTACGCGTATGCATACTGCGAGCTTTTGCGAGCATCCCTGAGTGCCGAGTATTCATCTGCGTTGGGATCTATTAGTTACCGACGAACGCAGAATGGAGAGGAGTCACTGGACATACCGCCCGCTCATCGAGCTTGACCTGCTCAATTTGGCGTACCCTCTTCAACTGCTCCAGCTTCTCGGCCCTGCGCTTCTCGTCCTCGGCCCGCCGTTGTTGCGCTTTCTCGTGCTGCCGCCGCTCGATCTCGAGCCTCCTCTGCTGCTGCGTGCTCGACGCAGTCCGGCTCAGCGTACTGACTAGGCCGCCAAACAACCGCTGCCCCCGTTTCTTCTCCTCCAAGCTAACGTTCCGCCGGACCGGAGGACCGGCTGTGGCGGATGGTCTTCGCGCCTCTGGCGAGCGCCGAGATTCGGGCTCCCTGTCTCCCCGGCGTGTTCTTGTGGGTGATCCTTCTATAATCGATCCATTTCGCTCGTTCCTCGTGGGGGCGTGGCCGTCTAAGATATCTTCCGCCTCGGCTTTAACACCGTTGCTGGGGGGTGTGTTCGCGTCTCCATCCTCGAGCCTCATGCGCTTGCCGATAGCATCCTCCGTATTGACCTCAGGTGAGGCTTTGCGCTTGTTTGCGGAATAATGTTCCGTTTCGGCCATTTTCCGAGCCCGGGATACGCCGCGATGTGACCCGAAGTAATGCGCCGCAGCGTGGATTGTCGTCCGTTGCGCAGTCGCTCAATGGCCGGCGGGGTGGTTGAAGCTGGGCTTGGGAGCTTGGGACGCGCGCGAGACTGCAGGACGGTGCAGAGACTAGGGCGATGGAGCTGTGCAACCCTTCTCACGGCTCCCGGCACCGAGATAAGGTCTTGATATTCAAAGCCGTAATACCGGTTGCAATACCAATGGCTATTTTGGATGCATAAAACAAACAAGGTGGGAAATGAAGGAAGTCGGGAAGTCTCGATGTTGCGTCGCAAAGTCGAAGTTCCTCAATCCAACCCCAACCCTCTGCCGTCCCATGTGTAATGCGATCGAAATTACTGGAAATACGCCACCGCAGCCGAGGCTTGATAACCACCAAAGCCTGTGACGTATTTACCAGACATTTTCCCCGTCGCGTGTAAATCCGCCCCTCGAATTCTTGACCGCGACATACCACATCACGAGCGCAGCAATCGACGGCCCTCGACTAGTCGCCGGAGCCTTGACGACCGTTTCTTCGCCCTTTATCCTTCACCGCTGGACCCCTTATCCAACCGACCACAAAAAGAGAAGACAGGACAGACAACCACCCACCATGTCCCGCCATCACCCGTACGTCCCAGTCCCAGCCCCAGTCCCAGCACTAAAGCTAACTACCACTCTTCCCCTCTCTCACCAGCGACCTGGTAATGTGCCGCAAGCAGTCCGGGATCGCGATCGGGCGGCTCTGCGACAAGTGCGACGGCAAGTGCCCCGTGTGCGACTCGTACGTGCGGCCGACGACGCTGGTGCGCATCTGCGACGAGTGCAGCTTCGGCAACTACCAGAACAAGTGCGTCGTGTGCGGCGGCGAGGGCATCTCGGACGCCTTCTACTGCTTCGAGTGCACCCGCCTCGAGAAGGACCGCGACGGGTGTCCCAAGATTATCAATCTAGGTAGTTCGAGGACCGATGTGAGTTTTATCTTCTTTTTTTCTTCTTCTTATCGGAAGTTGAATGGTGCTGGCCGAATGGATGCTGACGTGGGGTGTGCCTTCAGCTGTTCTACCAAAAGAAAACGAATCGGACAGGGTTTTAGTGACGGCGTGGCCCGGGTCTGGGCGGTTCCGGTTCTCTTCTCTACGGGGTGTGGGACGGGCGGCATACAATGTACTGTCTGGGGGATTTATAGGTGGAAGCCTGATATGGACGGCGTTTTTTGGAGTTTATAAGGGGCATTCTAGACGAGATATCTCGGGACATGCGCTGCCAATATTACTATAAGAAGTCATCTACTCTTTTCAACCCGGGAAACTATAACGTGGGTGGGCTGAGCTAGCTAATACAGCATGTTGTCGTCTCATACATTCTACAAAGGGAACGGGAAACCAACAAAACCAGCGCAGAGCATAAGACCATTACAAAAGAAATCAACGACCCCTTTCCAAAACATACTCAAGCTTTAAACCTGCGAGCCATGGCTAGTTAGATATAGCTGACCTTGGTGCCCATCCCGGCCGTCGCCTTCACTTTATTCCAACTGGCCTGCAAAATTCGCCCAATCCTCTCACGGATCTTCTTCCGGCTGAGCAGCATGAGCAGACCAACTACGAAAGCCAGCATCCGCATCAACACATAAGGGTTGGTCTGAAAAGCCCCCGCGATCTCGTCGACAAGAGTCCGGAGGTTCGTCAACACCATCGACGCCCTCGACATGAGCGTCGGGGCAGCAACAGCGTTACTGCCACCGCCACCACCAGCATTACCCGCCCCCCTCCTCGGCAACGGCCCTCTTGATCTCGCCATACCCCCCGAGCCCGACGCCTGGCTCCCAGATGACCCACCCTTCTTCAGCGCCGGCGACGCGGGGGCAGCAGGCGTCGACGACGACGAAGACGCGTTGCTCTCCACGCCGAAATCATCCACCGTCGCCTTGGCCTTAGCCTTCGCTTTAGCAGTCTCCAGCCGCTCCTTTTCGCGCTCCTTTTCCCTCTCCCTCTCACGGGCCTCGGCATCCCTCTTCAGGCGCTCCTCCTCCAGCCGCTTCTTCTCGCGCGCCTCATTCTCGGCGCGCAGGCGCCTGGCCTCCTCGATGTCGCGGCGGATGGCCTCCTCGCGGGCGGCGCGCTCCTCCTCCTCGCGGCGGCCCGCCTCGGCCTGCTCCTCGCGCAGCGTATCGAGCGCCTGCAGGAAGGCCTCGCGCCGCTCGTCGTCGAGGACGGGGCTGACGCTGATGAACTCGTGCGCGTACTCCCACTGGTCGTTGCGCGGCAGCACGTGCAGCGTGTACAGCTCGAGGATTTTCACCCGTGCGTTGAGATCGCGTGGTGTGTCCGCGCCGCTGGGGGCTGGGCGCCGCGTCTTTCGCGAGGCGGCGGGGGAAGGGGAGGGTGATTCGTGCCGGCGTGCTGGTGACTCGGAAAAGCGGTCGGCTGAGATGTCGAGGGAGGGGGTGCGCGCGGCGGCGAGGTAATTCTCGAGGCGTTTCTGGTTGAGGTTCTGAGTTTTGGAGTGGGCGAGGAGAAGAGTTGCTCTGGAGTTGATGTATCAGTTGAAACCGCTGTGTTAAGAAACGAAGGGAGAAAGCGGGAAGCCCGGGCAACGTACAGGTTGATAACCACTTCAGCATCCACATCCGCTTCGACACCATGGTATCCATTGCGAATTACCTCCTCCCAAATATCTCCCGACCGGACCTTGTAGCAGAGAGCCCGCCAGTCCTGCCCGCCAAACGCATCCTTTCCGTCTTCCGGGTCGAGCTCGGCAATCGCATTCAGAACGGTCAAGTACAAGCTCCAGACCTTGACCCGTGAGGACCGAGACGCCCGAATAACGGGAGCCGGTTCGGTTGATTCGTTGTTCGGGTCATCGGACTGGGGAGGTGACACTAGGGGGAGGACAGTCGAGAGAGCCTCGGGCAAGCGACGCGTGAGGAACAGCGTCGACGCTTGCCGGTAGGTCTTCGAGATATGAGAAGCCGCGTTATTGCGTCCCGAAGTATTTGACGCGGATAGTGATGATATGGACGATGATAGACCGCGAGCCTGTGCAAGGCTCTCTGCGGCCATGTACGATGTGTGGTTTGTAGCCATTGCGGGGATGGTTGTCGCGTGTCGTCGGGCAATGGAGGTTCAGGTCATTCGTAAGTCGTCGGCGTGTGTTGTCGGCGTTGAAAAGACCTTGATTGAAACACACAATGGTTACTCGACGTTTCAATGTTCAGCCATCGTGTTGTTAATGCCGAGACATCACCCTCAAGACGACAACAGACAATGGAAGCGATAAGGGTGGAAAGGTTTATCGTTCGACAAACGCGAAGCCGGCCTCGACTTCCAACTTCATTCAGTGGAGACACAACATGCAACATGTGCGCGCCCAGTGACCTCCAGGCCGCAAATTACTGTCTTGAGCCTCGGCAAGCCTGGGGTATGCCGATTGGGTCACAGTGCCATTGGTGGGGCAACGCTTGTTAGCTGCCGACCATTGAGGAAGCAGAACCGCCAAGTAGCAAGGAGGTGTGCATGAAGGAACTCCATGAACTCGATGAGACTACCGAGCTTGATCAAAAACGATATTCAGCATGTGTGTGGGGTCGGCGAGATTGGTGGTATTTTCAACGTTGCGTGGCCACCCAATGTGAACCGGACGGGAGTTAGGGTTTTGTACAATAACAACCCTTCCCCTGAGATAGATATCCCGATGAGATACTTGGGTTGGTACGCATGAAGTAACTCGTCGAGAGACAACCAGGAAGTCGTTGTAACAAGAGCACAATAGTCAAAGACTTGAACCATAATCTAGCTTTGTATCGCAACAAACCCTTCTCACAATCCAAAGAGCCACTCCAAAGCATACGTCCCACATACCACCACATTACATACACATCCACCCAATATCTACCCTGCTACGAGGGGGTAGCTTACTGCAACATCGAGTCAAGGCTCTCCCCAAGCTTCTCCTCGATCTCCACGATCCACCGCCTATTCTCCCTCTCCACCACCTCATCATCGTCATCCTGCAACTCGCTGATATACGGCAACATCTCCGGCAGCGCCTGCAACCACTCCTCGCCCAGCCTGACCGTCAGCGCCTGCTGGCACTGCACCACCGCCAGCCGGACCGCCGCCTGCCCGTTGCGTAGGTGCTTCAACAGCGTCCCGTTGAGCTCCTTGTGGTGCTCCTGTGAGTCGGCCGCCGCCGCCAGCTCGACCAGCGCGGGGATCAGGTCCTCGGTCGCGTCCGCCGCGCCCGCGTTGAGGAACTGCTCAACCAGCACGGGCGCCACCGCGCCAAAGTGCGCCGGCGCCTGCCAGAAGCCGTCCTGGTCGTGCTCAAAGCACTTGCCCAGCGTGCGCAGCACCCACTTCCAGAGCTCCTTCTCGTCGGCGTCCTGGAAGTTGGTCGACGAGAGGACCTGGACGGCGCTCTCGACGATGTACGACGCGTAGCTGGTGACAATAGACTTGAGGTTGCCGAAGAAGGTGTCTAGGAAGCCGTAGACGGCGAACAGCCGGAGGGTCCGGCCCGACGCGTCGTTCTTGGGGAGCCCCGTCGATGCCCACTCCATGAGCTTAGAAAAGATGGGGCGGAAGGCGGCGTCGTTGAGCTTGTAAATCATCTTGAGCGCATCGTCGCCGATCTTGGTTTCGATCTCACCCAACTCGGACGGGCTGATCGCGGTCTTGGCCTGCCCGGACACAACAGTCCTCCTCAGGTCCATAGCGCTAAGGAAGATGGTCGAGAGCGAAGCTACATTCTTGGCAACAGCTGCCTTGGAATGCTTGTCGAGGGCCATGCCGAGTATGTCGAGATATTCAGAGACGGCCTGTTTCAAGGTTAGTTTCAGTCCCTCGCAACATCACGAGCAAAGGATACTAACCGAGGCGCCACAGCTGGAGGCAGAGGCCCAGTTCTGGTTCAGTGCATTGTACATAACCTTGGGGTCGACCAACTTGGCCAGGAATTGAAGGCAGTGGGTTCGGTTACTGCTCGATTCATCGTCCAATGCCGCCGCCGCAGATGCGTTCGAGCAAGCCAGAAGGCGGTCGAGGTATGAACCAGTGATCATGTACGGGATATGCTGGGCCAACGCCGCCACGAAAGCATACGCTGCATTGTGCAGCTCGGCATTGGGTTCCTCGCCCACCAAGCTCTGTTCGAGGTAGTCCAACGCCTTGGGGATAGCGACAGGCAAAACAGGGACGATACCGTCCTGCAGAACATCCACAAGCGAAGCCAGGCAGAGTAGCGCCATGACCCGGAGGGTTTGCGATGACTGGCCAAGGCAATAATCGCCCGCAATAGTCGCCGCCGCCGCCGCAACCGCATCGAGATCCTTCTTGCCGTACTTCTCCGAGATCTTGTCGACACACGTCACAGCAGTGTGCTTGTAGCTCATGTCGTCCGACTCGCGGATGACGGCCGTCAACTGCGGCAGGAAAGCAAGTAGCGCCTCCCTGGACCTTGGGTCCGCGGTGCTCTCGCTGTCGACCCGGAGCTCGAGCGCCCGCAACACCTTCTGTCGTAGCCCGACGTTCGGCCGGTCAAGCAGTGCTTCCACACTCTTGATGAACTCGGCGATCGAAAGTAAATTGAGGAGGTTGGACAGCGCATCGCCGCAGCGGTTGTAAAGCGCCTTCTTGTTCTTGACCGTAGTGGCCAGCGTCAAGATGCTCTCCAGGAGCGTCGCGTAGAGATCGCGTATTTTCCCCGTTTCCATGTCATCTCTCTCCGCCAACTGCGTGATCTCCCGCTTCAGGCGCTTGTTTGCAAGCAGATGTGGAAGGAGGTTCAACTGCTTTGTGGCGACCTTTTGAGTATCATGTTCACTGCCGTCGCCGCCAAGCAAGACGTTCGATAGCGAGGGCTTCGGCTTGAAGATATCGCTAGTCAAGTCCAAGAGCTTGATGAGAGTTTGCAGCTGGATCTCCACCGAGAAGGAGCTCATCATCTGGGTCGTGAACGAGATCATGTTGTCTGTCGCAGCGTACCTATCGACGAACATGGCAAGAATGGCAAAGAGGAAGTCTTCAGGTCCAAGATTCTGAACCAGGGAAATGAAGAGGTCGTGTTTCCGGTGCGAAGGGATATGCTCATAGGCAGTAACGAAGCTGGCAAGGAGGTCCTTGGTGCTGGCAACCACGTTGCGTCCTCTTCTCCGGAACGTGTCAATTAACGGAGGAATAACCTCCTTGATGGTTTGATTGACAAACATGGGCAGAGTAGTCATCAGCCTGCTTCAATACCGAGCTGCCCATAAACGTGAAAATCGGCATGACGCTCTGCAGAACCACGTCTGGTGCCGTCCGAGCCAGGCTAGCCACCAAAAGCAGTGCCGCATTGATTACGGCAGGGCTAGATGACTTTTGGATGCACGTAGCCAAGATGTCTCCATGGCCGACCGATGCGTCGATCGTCAGGTTCTTGTTATCCTTGTACGCCGGCATCATGGCGAGAAGACTGCTCAGAACGAGGTTTTGGAGATAGCCCAACTCAGAGCCGATGAGCGTGCTGAGGTGGTGAAGATCTGACAGCGTGGTGAAAAGGCTTGGCAAAAGCTCGGGATGATTTGCCGGGTCGGACTCTTGAACGAGCTCGAGGACAAAGGTCGTCTTGTTCAGAGCTGCCTTGAGCTCCGGGTTACTCTGCAGGCCCACGCTCCGGCTCTGTTCTGTTGTGCTGACCCGTCTTCGCTTGTTCGCGGGTTTCTCGGTCGCGAGTTTGACTTGGTCTTGCAACGAGTCAATAAGGTCGAGCTGGATGTCAGTCGTGAGCTCCACCTTGCGCAAGAGCTCAACCGCCTCCGTAATGACCGGGCCGTGCTCAGAGGACGATAGGGTTTGGGTAATATTAAACATAAACCGAGCTGTGGAGGACTTGGTGTCTGACTTCATAGACGGCCACATCTTGATAACCCGACAAAAAATCGCCTGCACCAGGTGGGGCCTAAGAGCGGTTTTAGGGTCGTTAATCAGCTCGAAGGCCGTCTCGAGGCCGGCGGCGTGGTTTGCGATAATGACATCCACGACAGCTTGGTCAACAGTAGCCTCGTCAAGTGATTCTCGCGCAGTAAGCTCGATGACCTCTTCGTGGCCGAGGGCAGCCCACCAACGGAGCAGCGGCAAAAGAAGGTCTGTCCGAGACGTGCCCGAGATGCTCCGGATTTGGTTGAGGGATCGAAGCAAGCGGATCTTGACAGCCAACAACGGTGTCTCCGTGACGTGGCCACAGATGAACTTGAAGATTGAGAGTCTTGTTGCGTGGGAAAGATGGCGCCTTCCGCCTTCCGTTCCGGATGAACCCTTCGAGCTCTCAAGGGCGCTAACGAGGACGGCAACGACGTGAGCCTCGTGAAGGACAGATTCTTCCAGCGACGGGACCAAGACCGAGCTAACCAGAGCTTTGAGGGTATCACGGTCAAGCGCATTGGGAGCGCCAACCTTACCGTACAAGTCCTTTGCGCCCCAAACCTGCCGGGTTTGTTCTTTGACAAGAGAACCCAAAACAGCAATAAGGTCGGCCGCGGCACGGCGAACCTTCTTTGCCGGATCGCTCAGAGCCACCGCGCAGTACGGGATGATCGCCTGGAAATCCTTGTCCGCACAATCGCTTTCCTTCAACCGCAACTTGACACGCTCGAGAGCAGCCACCTTGGCGAGTGTGGGAAATGGCCCGCACCAGACGCGCATGTAGAAGCTGAGGTAGAACGGGTTGCTCGTCGCCAGAGGTCGGCTTAGAGCAGGAATAGAGTCGAACTTCTCCATGTCGCTCTCCGCAGCCGCGGCAGAAAGAAGGACTGCGCAGAGGTCGTTGAACAGGCCGCTCGAGTCTTGTGATAGACAAGAAACTGTCGAGGGTTGCAGCTTGGCCAACTCTTGGAATGTTGAGGCCAAACTCAGCGTATTTTCAACTGCCATTGCCCCCTCTTCAGCCCCTGCCTCCTCCGAGCTTTGCTCGATCGCAAGTTTCGGGCGGATCGCAGCTCCAAGTTTGAGTTCAAGTTCTTCGATGTTGAAGTCAACCTCCTCAATGGCAGACCTGATAACATCCCCCACATCTCCTCCAGTCTGCGATAAGCTGATCAAGGAAGAGCCGATTTCTTTACGAATATGACCGTCCTCGTCGACCTCATCATTGACCTTGTGGGCAGCCAGGAGCATGGATTTGTAGATAACCTTGATCTGCTTATCCCGTAGCAGATTCGCCGAAAGAAGCGAGTTGATAGCAGGCAAGCTTCGGACATCGCCTTTTTTGGATAGTCTCTCGATGAAGGCTAGCGCAAGCCCGTTGGCCAGTTTGTCGACCCTGTGTTGCCGGCTGATTTCCACTAGGGTCGGAACCAAGTCCTGGACCTTGATGAGGGCCTTTGCGATACGGCTGGACACCTGCTTCGCAGCCCGGTGTTGTGCCAGAATGCAGAGACAGACAAGACCCGGGCGATAGGTATCGATATTCCAGCCGTGGACTAGTTGGTCCATAAACGCCGTGAGCGCCACATCGTTGAGACTGCCCTTCGCAGCCAGTATAGTAACGATCATATAGCTTGCGATTTGGATCCCAGGAACTTCTTTCATAACCATGGCCTCGCTGAGAACTGGCCCGATCTGCTGAAGAAGGATATGGTCGTTTTCCAGCTGGATGCTCCTCCGACCAGACCTCATCTTGTCAAGCATGCCATTGGCAGCTTCCGCCATGACGCCACCCCAGAATGACACCAGACCCGGGTACTCTTGCCTTGCGCGGCATGATTCAAGCGTATACTGAGAAATAACAGAGAGCAGCTCGGGCCGGTTTGTCGCCTGTTGAACTATCGCGGCTCTCGGCGGGGCCGTCAAAGATCTGATGTAAGGGTCTAGGAATCGGTACTCTAAGGGTATCTTGGATGGAAGGATGGAGAGGAGTGTAACGAAGGCCGGAATCGTATGATACGGCAAAAAGGTGGTAATGAGGGTGGCCGTGTTAAACTCGTGGATCCTAGGGCCCAGTTAGCGCGGCTGGGATAATCTGAGAGGGCATTTTTACCTAAACCGCCGAATCAACCACTCGATTGCTTTGATGGCGGGCATAAGTCGCAACCGGCTCCCCACCAGGTGGAGGAACGAGTCGACGCGCTTGTCCAAAACCGCATTCTCCTCCGCGTTCATCTGGATCCGGTCGGCTTCTTGACTTTGCTCGCTAAACAGGGAAGCGCCATATTGTGCGAAGCGCGCATCCAGGTTGCAGAGTTCCTCAAAGCCTTCGTAGGATAGCTGGTAGATCTCGGCGAAGGTTTGGCCGGCGGCGACTCGGGGCTCCCAGATCAGGGACTTGGAATGAGTGGCCTTGAGGGCCTTGGCGTTCAGGCTGGTCCGCGAGTTGGCTGCGATTTGCGCCAACTGCGCAGCCAAGGACGACGCCATATCAAGGCGATATTAGTTTTCCCCGCGTGTAATTCTCGTCGGCTTCGTTTGCGACCAAGGGGGGGCGAGTTGACGCGGGCAGAAAACGGTCTCGGCGGCGGTAGTGGGCAGTTCGAGGTTGTAGGCCGCCAATTAACCATGTATAGGTTAGCTACACACGGCGCCGTCAAATGCGGGTAGTGGAGGGTGAAGGAGGTGGAAGATGCGGTTGACACCTCTCACTGTCCGCACTCTGAGAGCTCGCGTTGGATTTGTTCAATAGCTGGAATCGTTGAAGCACCTTCGTCCAGAAATTTTTCTGGGTCGGAGGGGCCGATAAGCCCAATTAAGCCAATGGTACGCTTCCGATAACGTCTTATTTTGGTGGTGGGCTGCTCTTCCATCCCAGGGCCCAAAAAAAATCCAGCACCCAGAGGGACACCGAGCACCAGCCCGAAATCACCACCGCTCCACCAGCCCTCTACAATCGCAATCGCCATGAGTTCCCGTCCGTCGAAGCGGAGGAGGGTTACGCCACCCCCCGAGGACGGCCAAGATTCGGGCAACGGTGACGTCAGGGTTCAAAAGGCCTTTTTCAAAAGCGCTTCGAACTGGAACCTCGAGCAAACCTACGAAACGAAGTCAAAGAAGGCCAAGAAGAAGGAGGCAAAGAAGAATGGAAACGAGACTGGAGGCAGACTTCCTGTGAAGACCGCCCAAGGAACATGGCAGGTTCACGACGATGCCGAGTCGGTAGCTAGCGACGGCGATTGGCTTGAGAGCGAAGGGGACGACGGTGGCATTGACGAGGAGCCCGAGGCCGCTGTGCCGGAAGCGCCCAAGATCCCCGAGCGTGAGCAAATCCGAAAAGCTCAAGAGGAACTCGCCAAAATTGCGACGCAGCTGAACGAGGATCCGGAGGAGTATCCCGGCGCATTTAAGTCGTTGGCTCGCATCGGAGATTCGCCAATTCCTGCTATCCAAAAGCTCTGCATCGTTACCCAAATGACGGTTTACAAAGATGTCATCCCGGGCTACAGGATACGACCGGCATCGGAGGAGGCCGGCGAGAAGTTATCGAAAGACGTGAAGCGGCTACGGACCTACGAACAGGCTCTGGTGTCCGGATATCAAGGCTACATCAAGACTTTGGCGAGGCACGCATCTTCAACAGCCACGGGTTCTCGGCGATTGGGGCAACCTGTTTCCAGCATTGCCTTCACCTGCGCCTGTACCCTAGTCAATGCTGTACCGCATTTCAACTTTCGGGGAGAACTCCTGAGGATACTCGTCAAGAAACTGAGTGGTCGCCAGGTGGACGAAAACTTCAACAAGTGCCTGAAGGCGCTAGAGACGCTGTTCCGAGACGATGAGGAAGGGAACGCTTCCATGGAAGCAGTGTCTTTGCTATCCAAGATGATGAAGGCTCGGGATTACCGGGTTGATGAGAGCGTGCTGAACCTGTTCCTGCACCTGCGGTTACTGTCCGAGTTCTCTGGCAAGGCTTCACAAGACTCGGTTAGCCGCCCTGGTGATCTACCAAATGGCAAGAAGCCGAAAGTAAAGAAGGAATTCCGGACCAAACGGGAACGGAAGTTGATGAAGCAGCAAAAGGAGGCCGACAAAGTGATGGCACACGCTGACGCGGCCGTCAGCCACGAAGAAAGGGAAAAGACCCAGTCCGAAATTCTGAAGATGGTATTTGCCAGCTACTTCCGTATCCTCAAGGCCCGCATGCCTCATCTGATGGGTGCCGTGCTTGAGGGCCTCGCCAAGTACGCTCATCTGATCAACCAAAACTTTTTTGGGGATCTTCTTGAGGCCCTCAAAGATCTCATCCGGGACAGCGAATTCACAGAGGACAGGGGTGGGGACGGGGAAACGAACGGCGACGAGGAGGATGACGAGCTCTCGGTCATTCGCGACACGAGCCGCGAAGCGCTCCTCTGCACCGTCACCGCCTTCGCCCTGCTCGAAGGCCAGGATGCCCATAACGCCCGCTCAGACCTACACCTCGACCTCTCCTTCTTCATCACCAACCTCTACCGCAGCTTGCTAAGCCTTTCCGTCAACGCCGACGTCGAACTCGGCGCCAAGTCCCTCCACCTCGCCGACCCGGAGGACAGCTCTTCGGGTAACCCGGCCAACCGCAAGACCAACAAGGTCAACCTGCAGACCACGACGGTGCTCCTTCTGCGCTGCCTCACCGGCGTGCTCCTCCCGCCCTGGAACATCCGCTCGGTGCCGCCGCTCCGGCTGGCGGCCTTCACTAAGCAGCTCATGTCAGTGGCGCTGCAGGTGCCCGAGAAGTCGAGCGAAGCGGTGCTGGGCGTGGTGCACGACGTGGTGCACACGCACGGGCGCAAGATTAACGCGCTGTGGAACACGGAGGAGCGCAAGGGCGACGGCACCTACAAGCCGCTGGCCGAAACCATCGAGGGGAGCAACCCGTTCACGACTACGATCTGGGAGGGCGAACTACTCAGGAAACACTACTGTCCCAAGGTGCGGGAGGGTCTGAAGGCTATGGAGAAGGAGTTGAAGAGCATTTAGTTTGCCTGTGTTGTTTTGGTGGCCAGTTTACATGACAGGGACGGGTTGGACATGTAGCGTCTGGCATTTGTCACTGAATTCTCAACTGCTAACAGCTAATCGCTGGCTTTGTTGATACCCCTGACAAGAGGGAAATCCCCTGGAAAGACATCGCTAAGCATCAGCGCACTCCACAGTTCGGAATTGAAATCTGCCCATCTGCCGCGGCCCCCACTAGTTCGTGATCTTTTCTTTCCGAGGCGGATCTGCCCTAAGGGGGCCTGTTTTGATTACGCATTCTGGAAGCCCTTGCCGAGTACCACTCTGCCCTCGCCCGGGGCGATGACCTCAGGGGTAAGACGGCCGGTTGGTCCCAATCCGGCAAATAATGCCCGGCTCGGTCCTCTTTTCGTTCGTGTCAACCTTTTTTCATCGCGCGTTTCGAGACCAATGCGGAACCAGCGTTGTGCTCCCAGCTGAGGCCGGCCAGCCAGTGTTGCGTTGTCGGTGGAAACTGACTTGGGTGATGTGGAAACACGGGCAGATAGCTGGTGGATCATATTCGCGAGGAGGCGACCCCGATCGGGCAACAGAGGGATCGACGGCATACGCCGTTTGACCATCTGATAGCAGAGCCAGCATAGCGGAGTAGTAGTTATAGCCACTTCACATTCGGCTGGTGGCTTGACTTAGGATGGCGATGTGCTCGGCGGAGGCATGTGGAACTCAATGACGTTTCCTCACCGAGCCATCGACCTCAGCGGCGCAGAGACGGCGGCTCATCGGCTTGTCAGGATTTCTCAACGACTGACTCCCGGGGGCCATGCGGCGTGGTACAAGGATGCTCCGGGATTCATGCCGCCCCTCGCCGAGCCACCGGAGCAGGGGAGGCGGATGGGGATGGTTGGGGGCCCATGGCATCTTACCCTAGCTTGCCTGGCCCCTGGAGCCGGGCGAGGCTGGCCAGACTCCCAGCAGGGCTTGCCACTTGGCCGTCCGAGCGCCCGAGGTCAACGTTCGTTGCCCCTGGAACCCGCAGAGCTGGGCAGGGATGGTGACAATCGCCCGCCGTGGCAGCGATCATGCCTTCGGGGTCGTGGTTTCAGAAAGTCGATCTGGTGATGACCCTGCAGCTGTTGGTTGTTGGATAAACCTCGGGCAGGTGGGAGCAAGGTCTTTGCAGAGAGGTCCAAGTTGAACAGGGCAAGGTTATCTCGATCAGTCAGAAGTACGAAGTCTCACTGTTTTCTCTAGGACCGTTGCGAGCCGTGAACCGGAGGCACTGTTTTGGCGTTGCCTCTCAATCCACGTAGTTTCCACGGGATGCCCACATAGAGGGAAGCAATTGACAGACATCTCGGCTTTGCCTAGCTCAAAAGAGGAGTGGACCGGGCGAGGACAAACTGTTGGTGTGTGTCTGTTTGCAGGAATCTGGGTTCAGGGACTTTCCCTGCGGTGGTCGACCGCACGAGCACTTGGCTTGGGAGCGCACGGTGTTCAGGTGAAGGCTCCCAAAGGCGAGCCTTTCCAGTCCCGGTGATTCGGTTGGGCAAGGGGTAAGTAATGCAGGTTGACGCTGGTGACGAGTTGGATGGACAGGCTCGGCGGAATGGATCCTTTTGGGAAGAGAATCAGGTGTTGCTTTCGGCGAGTCGGGCTGTTGTTGCTGCATCGAGGTTTTCTGACTCAGGTACAAGTTATTAACTAGCGGGGGAAACGGGCAGTGGGGTCATGCAGACAGAGCAAAAGCAATTCGAGGGCAGTTGCACCTCACAGCTTCAACAAGCCCGGCTTTCTTTGGCGAGAGTGTGTCTTGCAGGTTTCCCCGCTAGTCGACATGCATTCCAATCTATCTCCGGCTATGAACAAACATACATACAAGTCGCCTATCTCCACAGAGCTTCCGGACTGACGAAGGTCTTGTTGGCTCTCGGCTTGTTCCCTGTTCATTTGCTATTTACCCCCCGCCGTCCGAATTTAAGCCGTTCCCGCTGTGTCAAGGCGCGAGCCGCCCTTCTGGAAGAAGCTGCGACAGCGTTCTCGAGTTTCATCTCTTTTCCCGACCCCTGAACTCCATCACCGAGCACGACGGCGCTTGTTTCGCGCTCTGCAACCACGCGAACCAGGCTGAATGCGGCAATCACCCGTTGACTTTTCTGGCAAGTCCGAAGTGCCCCGCTCTCCAACAATGGGACCGAGCGACGCAACGCACAGTCATCTTCCCAGTCCCTGAGCTGCTCCTTGCTGCAGACTCGGGTGGTTGCATCGAAGAAGGGTTTCGTTGGCCATCGCGTTGCTTGTGTGGGCAATCCGCCAGGGTCGCTTCTTGTTTTGCTCCGCGAAAGTCGCAGCCGAGGAACGCCCCGCTCATGCAGGCTGCCAGGCACGGTCAGGCACACCAATAGAAGCTGCAGGACAATTGCGCCGACTTCCCGCCGTTGCCTCGAGCCCCCCTGAGGCAACTGTTCAGATTGTTTTGAGATCCGCCAGCACCAAACTCTTTTACTCTACGTTTCGGATTTCGATCTCCCTTGGCACCCGCTTATACGGCAAGTCAGCAGTCGGTCGTCTTTTTTACGCTGGCCGCACCTTTACCGTGTGGACCGAAGAGCGAGAATTCACTCTTGAGTCGTGACGTGCTCACGGGAGCGCCGCTAAATCGTACCTATTGTGTAATTACCGAACAGTTTCTAACAATAGCTACAGGCACATACGCACACACTCGCCAAAGGTTGGCCTTGTCCACCTTCCCACCTGGGCGCCAAATCAACAGGCTCAGCTCGCCGCAGAGCTTGCTCCACTTGGTAGGGAGCTTACACAACGCCCAGCTCCGCGGGACAGGACAGCGGCACGGCTTGGACATGACCACGGCCGCACACAGATCGCTCGCTGCATGAACCATGTCCCACCTGAGCATTGGGCCGGAATGGTGTGCACCCCGCGTATTCCGTACCGTAATATGTACACCCACATGAACCTTACCGCCGCGCTGGCGGGTGTCCTTTCAAGCCCCAGATGGCCAAACAGTCTTGTTTAGATCGTACAGAGCGGGATCTGAACAGATCTGATAGGGTAGGCCGTTGATGGTGTCTGGCTCTTTACCGACTGCGGCCGATTTCTGGACCACTCCGTTGCTATTCTTGGGCCACCAGCTGTCATCTCGCTGCCGATTCGCTGTTCGCCCAGGGAAGATAATGTTGAAGTCATCAGATGTCCAGTCAACGGCCTGAAAAGTCCGCTCGATTTTACCAATCAAGGTTCCGATGCGCACCAGCTCCATGTCATCCAGGGATACCCGTCTCCCGTCTCCCGTGCGGCCAGCCCCACGCCCAAGCTCCTGAGCTCCTTCTCTTCAATGCGTGCCACCAGGCTTGGGCTGTCGACACGGCACATATGATTGGGCGGTGGGCAGCGGCAAGGCGTGGACATCAACCTTTTGCTTCTTGTTCTGCCCCGGGAATATGAAACGGAAATCCCGAATGGATGTTGGCATGTTCTCCGACAAATGAGAGGTCATCGCCAAACAGGGCAGCGAAGTAGACATGATCTTGAGTAAGGACCTCAATGCGTACGGAATATGCTTCCACTTGCACAGCAAAAGCAAACCTTGACTGTATCACAAGGGTCATACAAGATCATGCCCACTGACGGCAATCGAACAGAAACAAAAATCACTGATACGATTGAGAGGAGGTTTCGCCAGCGGCGATATTTCCCGGCCGCCACCGCTTAGCCATGCCGTGGCCGACGAGATACTTGGGATATCGATGGCATTTCCCGCCATTCAGGGGGGTATTGAGGTAGCGCCAGGAGTTACACGATACAACCTCACGGACGGAGAAGCCAGGGTACAACCAGGGCAACGAATCTAGCCTAATCTGCATACAAACACACTTCAGTGCTTTCGTATTATTCACAGCACATTGGAGAAGAGTTTGGTTCCGCATGCCTACCATGGTCTGTGACCCGCGCTGTCTGCCGTGGGGGCTGGTTAGTAAACATCTGAAACGGATAGCTTTTGTGTTTCAAAAATGCTAGCCATGGGCGATCAAGCGGAACGACATACCCACCTACCGCATCGGATGCTTTGCATAACGGCTTTGTTGAACAGGCGCACAGGAACTAGATCTACCAGGGCGTCTGCTGGGAGCTCATGTTGCACTTTTCACGCCCCCTCCACGAAGGACCGTGGACGGAATAGCAAATGTGTTCCTGAGAAGAGGGAAGAACCTGCCTTGCTACGATCCTGGTAGCCTCGAGCCGTTTACCTTTCAACGTGCCACCGGGAAGGATCAAGGAAGATGAGGTAAGGGCAAACTGGCACGAGCTGCCTTGAACAAGCAAGCTCTCCTCGTCTTCTGCGGGGCAGAGACAATCTGGGGAGCACGGTCGATCACAGCCGAAAAGCCATCGGGGAAGAAAGCCCGAGAGCCATCTATTCGGCATTCAGCGAGTCAGCTCTGAGCGGGACAACCTGGCTTTGCTCTCGTGTCCAAACCGCGCAGGTGTGCCAAGGTAAGGGCTGGGCGAGGACAAAGTGGATCCTGGCCTGCCAACTGAGCTATTTCTGAAGCATGTTTCAGACTTGACCAGGGTCGGCTCAAAATTTGTGGCTGGACACCGCCCGCCCACCTCGCGAGCTGCGGTAACGATGTGCACTAACTAACCGGAGGCGGGGTGGGCAAGATGGCGGCACGGATCTGGGGACCTGACAGCCAGCGGCCGATGGCAGTGGGCAGCGTGGCAGCGAAGCCTTGTTGGACTCCATCTTCCTCGCAATCTGGGGTGGCAAGGCGGTTGCTTTTCATCCATCTCGCACCAATCTCCACCATATTTGGTAGGATTCCAGTGACAGGACGGGCTCACCGCAAGATGCTGCCTGTCGTCTTGAGCCAGGCAAACCAAAGAGGATGAGATGGTTCACGCTCGATGACCCAGATTGTTTTAGACAGCGTCTTGCTCGATGTCAGACAATGGAGTTGTCGCCCGTGCAAGAACACGACAAAGACGTAGCCAAGCGCTTGTTGGATCTGAGTAATCGAGAGAGTCAATGATCTCAGATCTCAGATCCCGCTTCTGGCCGGGCTCCAACCAATGTCGTACACTGGATGTACCCGGAATATGAGCCGCTCAGCATCACTTTCATGGCTTGCACTGCCGGGCATGGGAGAAGCCTTCAAACCTCCCATTACTGATCTGGCAATAAATCTCTAAGCCAGCAAACCGCCAAAACGGCGATATTCCCCACGCCGCCTTTGCCGTCTCACGACTGCCAGTCTTGCAGGAGATTGCAACGCTACGTCGGCGGTACTGCCCAGCCAAAAAGCCCAATCAAGCGAGCGGGGGGATGGCGAGGTCCCATGCCCTCCATTTGGTAGCACCGACTGCATCGCAAAGCCAGGCAAGCCAGGATATTTTTATGAGGAGCAATTTCACGGGAAACCCTACCCTAAAGAACCCAGGCCTGGAGAAACGGCCGGCTCGGTTGTGGCTTCCAGAGCGCTTCCACAGCGCGGCGCACTCGTGGCCAGTGCTTCTGTCCTCAGGGGAACGCAGAAACGCAAAACAAAGCAGCATTGGTGTGAGGGGCCCCAAAGCTGAGCGCCACAACGGACCCGATGTCCAATGGTAACGAGATGCATCTACCGCATGACGATGGGACTAGACAACGAGGGCGCGTCAACTCAATGGTAAGTCGGATGAGCCGCCAGCCAAGGGAAGGGAGGGGGTTAGAAAGATACAACGAAAAAAGACAGAGCGCAACGACCTCACTCCCTGGTCCAGAGTCCACTTTGGGTATGGCCACCCAAACATCCACAATGGCAAGAAAAGAATGAGAAAGAATGGGCCGATGCGCTCCTCCCTCGCCATTCATGCCGTGGGGCAACGACGCTAGCTCCGGCCTCTCCACCACGCCTTGTGAGTATCTTGGTGACTTATTCCATGTTCCATGAGAGGTGTCGTTGCGCCCGCGCCACCAGCATCATCAGGCATGTAAACCGAGCCCAACGGAAAGAGTCTAGTCCCGGACAAGTATGATGCATCAAGTTCCTGGTTCCTCGTCCCTTATCTTTGGTCTTGTCGTATGGGGTGACAGGGGCAATGGAACCGAATCAGTAGGTACATACGCAAAGAGCCTTACCCGTCCCTTGACGCTTCTGTTCCTCGTCATATCACGCGCGTCTCTCCAGTTTTGCGCCGGGAACAATCTTCGAAGATAGGAAGGAGTCCCGACTTGTTAAGGCTGCTCGGCTTTTTTGCTCATGCCATGTTGGTTGCTGTGTGCCGGGAGCCCCCCACTTTTGGGGACACGCCCGGTCCCGAATCTCGGAGGCTGGATGCCTGCCCGACACGGTGACTGAAGTGGATGAACGAGGAAGCCAGGCCATGGTTTTGTGGGCGTGCGCTGTGGGTGCTCTTCCAGGCCGCTGCCGATGCCTGTGGCGTCTGTGCTTTTATTTAGTGGGGGCCCCTTCCTTCGCACAACGGAGCACTTCATGGAGACCCACTTACCCTTGGCTCCATCGCCTGCCTCCATTGGCTAGCCTACCCAGGATCCCTGGGGCCCGAGCAGGCGACGAGCAAAGTCATTAAACCCCCCGGGGCCGCCCACTCGCTCGCCTTCTTGTCTATCTCGCGATCCTTTTCCCAAGACTCCTTCTTCGTCCCCCCCTTCTTCTTTCTCCTTCTCTGGATAGTGTCGCAGGAGGACCACCATATTATCTCTCCTGCAACATCGTGCATTGTGTATTTTTTGGCACACTTGCACTGTCGGTTCCTCAGTTTTTTCCCTTCCGATCCAGACCCCAGAGGCAATCACCCCGTCGCTCCGCAACCCTGCCCGCCTGAGCGCAGCGCAGCACCTGCATCTTGTGAAGGGTCCGACAATTCGCGTCGCAGCCATCGCCCACGCCGTCAGCCGCCAACCTCCCTGCCGAGTAGCTCCCTGAGCCTGTTTGATAATCATCGATACCTGGGTATCCTTTCGATCGGTTTCGTTTCATTTAAACAAGAGCCCTGTTCTTATTCATCCATTGTTTCTCTCGGCCGATTGTCCACTATCGCACCGCACCGCACCGCACCAACAACCACCCCATCATCGCCCGCACTGCCCCAAGGCACGGCACTCACGGTGACAACCCGAACGGGTCTTGTTGTATCGCAAAGGAACGGCCTATCGCACAGGTTGCCGACCGCCCCGACCACCCCGCCTGAGGCGCTTTGGAAGCATTGAAAGAGTTGGGACCACATCTCTTATGTCACGGGCTGGTCTCGGAAATCTCGACTCTTAAAACCAAAACGCACAAATCGAAAGTGTTCGCAGGCAGCGCCTAAGAACTTTTCGCCTCCTTCATTTCCTACGATCCGCGGCTGCGTTATGTACCAACAGAATGCAACCATGGCCGGACAACAGATCCCAGAAACATTCATGCTGAGCGCTGAGGCTCAGAACAACCTTCCACAGGATGCTCAGGTAGCCCTGCAGCAAGTTGATAATCGTGAGTGGCTCGCGCCAGGCGGTGATGGGAGAGTAGAAGCAGACCTTGCTAACCCGGGCGTGTAGTCAAATACTTTCTTCTTTCGGCACCAGTTGACTGGACCAACGATCAATACATTAGACGATTTCTCCTCCCGACCGGCGAGTACGTTTCGTGCGTGCTCTGGAACAACCTTTTTCACATCTCCGGCACAGACATCGTAAGATGTCTGTCATTCCGTTTCCAAGCCTTTGGGCGGCCCGTGAAGAACTCCAAGAAGTTTGAGGAGGGCATCTTCTCGGACCTGCGCAACCTCAAGTCCGGGACGGACGCCACGCTTGAGGAGCCCAAGAGCGCATTTCTCGATTTCCTCTACAAGAACAACTGCATCCGGACACAGAAGAAGCAGAAGGTTTTCTACTGGTACAGCGTCCCCCACGATAGGCTCTTCCTGGACGCCCTCGAGCGGGACCTAAAGAGGGAGAAGATGGGCCAGGAAGCCACGACGGCCGCCGTTAGCGAGCCAGCCCTCTCTTTCCAGTTCGATTCGTCGCAGTCGCTGTACGAGCAACTCACGAAAGCCCAGCAGGCGAACTCGTCGTCCTTCAACCCACAACCTGTCTCTTTCTCTCAGCAACAGAGCACCTCTCCGGTGATGGCGCCGATTGACTCGATGCCCCCTCCGCAGATGATGCACCAGCAGATGCCCCAGCAGATGCCCCAGCCGATGCCTCAACAAATGCCTCAGCAGATGCCCCAGTCAATGCCCCCAATGCCTCAGACGATGGCTCCGATGGCGGACGGAATGGAAGCGATGGCTCCCTATGGAGCGATGTCAATGACGCCCAGTGTGCCCACACCTCAACCAGCGATCAAGCGGGAACCCGAGTACTCGCACCCCCGCATTCAGTACAACCAGAACGGTGTCCCAATGGCGCAAACGCACCAACGGCACACGTCGATGCCCGCGTTCGGCCTGGAGTACTCGCCCGCCCCGTCGTTCGTGTCGTCCCACTACGAGGATTACAGCCATAGGGTCTCCTACGAGCCATTGACACCCCCGCAACAAGCACTCGCCATTGGTGGCGAGCCTGCATACATCGCCAACGAGGAGACGGGCCTGTACAGCGCTATCCCGGACCACCTGAACCCTGTCGGTGCCCTGAATGGCATGCTCCACCTCCCGCCGTCAAACTTGACAGGTCCTTCGTTCCCGCGAAGCTATGGTTCGAACAATGTGTACTCGTCCGTCATTGAGGGCTCGCCTACGTATAAGCAACGGAGGCGGCGCTCATCCATCCCTCCTTCGCTCTCGGCCACCACTGCGGCCATTGCGGCGGCAACCCAGGGCAGCCACCGCCCCTCCGACCTCAGGAGATCAGTGTCCGCCTCTGTCGGCCCTGTTGCCGAAGGTGAAGAGTCTGGAGACACTTCCCCCCCCGGGTCTGACATACAGCGCCTCCGGTATGGCGCAGCACAAGGAGGTGCTCGATTTGTCGCGTCATGGGACACCGCTGTCGGCAGTGGAGGGTAGCCCCGCTCTCAACCCCATGGCTCTTCATCAACACGACTACTCACCGCTACCAGTCGATGAACTGGGCCCCCTGAGCGACCAAAGGCCAATGATGCATGGTGGCCCCAACGTGGTACGCAGAGCCCGGTCCGCAACCGTCATGGAACTTGGCCCCTATCCCCAAAAGTCCCACACCTGCCCCATCCCCTCCTGCGGTCGCCTCTTCAAGAGATTGGAGCACCTGAAGCGGTAAGACTTTGAAAAACATTTCATTTGTAAACATGTGAACCTCCTGCGGTGTATCTGACCAAACCTTCCAGACACGTGAGAACACACACACAAGAAAGACCCTACACCTGCCCTTATTGTAGCAAGGCGTTCTCCCGATCAGACAACCTAGCACAGTATGCCCCCCTCATTTCCTTGGTGTATCATTTCCTTCGTCAGTCGACAATTGGGAAGTTGAGCAGCAATGTTGCGCAAGTGGCACGCCAAGAGCGGAGCAATCCTCACCCAACCCTACAGAGATCGCCAATAGTCACAACACAACAGCCCGACCAAACTCTGTCAGGTATGAAACGGGACTAACAAAGGTCTTCCTTGCAGACACAAGCGCACCCATGATCGCAATGACGGTGCTGAGGGCAACTTCAACTCGGGTGAAGAAGAGGAGCAATACTCGGGTGAGGACCAGCTGTCCTCGATCGACGACGCCTCGCCGACCTCCGAGGGCGGCTATGTTGCCGGGTCGCTCGATGCGGCCGTCAACAGCAACAACGGTCCTTCACCTCACCGCGAACCATCAACCAACCAAAGCCACACGCAAACGCAAACGTTTAACAGCCTCCAAACGCTTAGCATGCCCATGACCATGAGCCAACCGCACGCCATTAATACGGGCGGTATGGCTTAGGACGTCGGCGGCGGCAAGTAGGGGTTGGGACATTTTGCTGCGACATTACACATTTTATATTGTTTTCTTTTCCTCATGCCTGGCTCTATCTGGGCCTTGTTTACTACATCGCTGGTTACCGCCCGTGGTGTGACATTCTTGTCTTTCCCTTTTGTCCGCGGCTGTCTCGTTTTACGGTTCCGAGGCGGTCGCATCTTTGTAAGTAAGCATTGCAGTGGCTGAAAAAACGACGGAGTTGGGTTTACGCTAGAGACGGCGGCGAGCTGGCAAGGAGAGAAATGGTCTTGTTTTTTGAGGAGTGCGTTCCTCAACCGCCTCGGGGGAGTATGGGACGGACGGACGAGACAAGAAGGGAGAAGACAACTGCATTTATTTGTCTTTGTATATATAGCTCGGTCTTCTTCCTTATTCCGTGTTTTCTCCTTCTCTCTTTTCGCTAGTTGATAGGCACATTAGCTGTCCTGATAGGGTGGCTGGTGCTCAAGAGTACGATATTAGGGCGGTGGGAATCAATTGATGTTTGGAAATATCTCGTCCCAGCTGTGTGCTCTGCGAACTACCTCTGCCTTAGCCTGTTTACTAATTGTGTTCATCCAGACAGCAAAACTTTCAACAATGCTTATAAAAGATGTCTGATTTCCCGTCTCGTTCCCCCGTTCCCTATCACCAGCGCCCCATCCCCAAGCCAACCTATCCAATCGGTCCTACACACCACCACGTGCTGACATATTGTAGCATTTTACACATATCACCACCAACCAGCCAGACAAATCACTGAACAGCAAGTGGCGAAACGATCGACTGGCCATCTCCCGCCCAGATCTGCTACCCTACCCCAACCGCGGCCGATCTCCGATCTTAGTCTCACCTCCTTACTTACTTACACCTGCACGTATACGTAGCTGGCCGTCCCAACCCAAGGCCGAGAGAGTGCCGGCCGCTTGGGTGGGTGGGTGCCCGCCCCGATCGACCGGTTCGGGGGCGGCCCAGATATCGGGCCCGGTGGGCTCGACTAGTCTGGTTGGGCAGTGTCTAGCAGTGTCTGGCAGTGCGTGGCTGGCTGGCTTGTTGGATTGTTGGATTTTTGGATTGGGGTTCCCTTGGCTGGTGGTCATTGTCAGCCAGTTGGTCGGTTGGGGTTGCTCGATTGGTTCACGAGCCGAAAGGGTTGGGTTGGGTAGGACCGGCTCAGCCGCTTGGTCCGGGCCCAACATATAAAATGGGTGATGTTGTACAGACTGCGCGTAGGTTTGGGGGAGGGGGCACAGGGTGGTGGTGTTGTTGGTGTTTGTACACTTGATGATGGCCCTTTGGGGCGGCGAGCGAGGGCGCACAGAGACAGAGATCACACAGACGGGCAGACACATGGTAGCAGCTTGGGATTGTGGCTCGTACACGGGGACCGTTGAGTGGTCGTCGGGTATCAGATTCAATTTCTCATCTTTGCGTGACGCCGTCTGGGCTTGTTTTCCAAGGCACGTTCCTCTGATTCCCGGCCTCTCCAAGACAGGCCCGTTGGTAAGACGGCCCGGCTGCGCACTCTTGTCCCACAGGGCCGAACACTCCTTGATGGCCAACGGCCCAGCCTACGGTGTTCTCTACGTTGCAATAGGAACGCGGAATGCTCATTGTGGGGGCGATGGCGGCGTGTGTACGCCCGCAGATAACTTTAGCCTAAGGAGGCATGGGATCCTCGTTGATAACTCAACGGCTCGGGCACCAATATGGTTGGACCGGCCCGGGAAGTTGCCAAATCGACCAGCTTGCCGGTCAATTGGTGATGGTTTGAAACCAGGCCTTGGGGGCAGTATAGACGGGAAGCGGCCGGGAAGGTGAGGTCGTGGGGTGTTTCAACAGCTCTGCTAGGAAAAGCTTGGTTGTGAACCCGGTAAAAATGTACGATAGGGGCGCGGGGATCGCGGGCCCTGTCAGAATCGGGAGGACGTTTCGTCCCTTAACCCTTTCCCCAGGCAAATGCTACCAAATAAAATAATCCTCTGTAGGTAGCCTCGCAGGTTGAGAGCGGAGTGCTCGATATGCAAGATGAGGGCTTGCTTGCAGGATGCGTAAGCAAGGCCGAGGCACAATCACCTCCTCCTCTTGCCCCTCCCTCTCCCAGCCGGCTTTCTCACCGAAGCGGCGATCTCGCGCGCTTCTCGGGCGCTAACCCGTAGCTCGGCGCCCTTCATCCTACCCACACCGGGAAGGTCGACTGGCCTATCACTCCTCCCCTTCTTTTTGGTAACTCTGGCCTTCTTCGTCTCCCGCTCGAGGATGATGCCGTTCTCCCGTGCCTCTCTCCGCCTCTTGTCTTCCTTCACCGCGGCGGCACTGACAATGCCTTTGCGCATGGACATGGGCATCTTGGCCTGACTTAGGATGCTCTCCTTGGCCCCCAGGGCCTGCACGCGCATGTCGGTCGTCTTGCGGGCCGTGCGACCAGCGGCGAAGGCACGGACGTTGGTGGCGGTGCCAGCGGCGTGCTCAGATTGCCAGTGGGACGGATTTGCGCCGGCCGCCGACAGGATGTGGGACTCGGAAATAAGCCGCTGCAAGGCTAGGTCGTTGGCCAGGAAGGCGGCGCTGTCTTCGGGGTCCCCATCGGCAGGTGTCTTTTTGGAGTTGGTGGCTGTCGTCTGCGCCGCGAGCTGACTGGGGTCTGGTGGGCGGGAGGACTGGGCTGACTGTCAGCGGTAACTTCGGCAGATCAATACGATGCATGCGCAGCCTTACGAGGTAAGCTTTGAGCTCCCGTTTGCTCATTGTTGTGGTTGTGGTTGAGGTGCTGGATGTATGATCAACTACCTCGACGACATGTGCTCCGGTATCTGTCTGGACTTAGTAGGGAGCCAGTGTCGCAAGATAGCCAAGGGAACCAATGCATACCCTCCTCGTCCTCGTCCTCGTCTTCATTCTCATCGTCCGAAACCCCGCCCCAATCCGAGTCAGATTGATCCGAATTGACGTCGCTGTCGTCATCATCCTGGCTAGCGTCGATGCCATCGCCGTTGGAGTCGTTGTTGGTTGTCTTCTTTTGAGCGGCACAGGGGGCGGCAGCGGCACCGGCGAGTGGCTTGAAACGCGCCTCGAAGTGTTGCCTGAGGAGTTCTTGGGCATCGGCAATTGCCTCAGGCTCCTCTACTGTAGCCCGTGACTTGCGTTTGCCTAATAGGCTCGGCATTGTGAGAAATTGGCTTGAATCGGGAAAAGTGAAGTTGTCAATGGGTAGGTGGGGATGCGTAAGACAGGACCTTGAATGTCTTGCAACTTTTTGGAGCTTGGGTAAAAATTAATTTCCAGCACCTCGATGGCTGGCGGTTATCTTATCGGGCGCCAAGAAAGTCCCCTCCAAAAAAACATACCATCATTACCCCGCCAAACACAGCGCACCCCCTTCTGTAAACAAGCCCCTTATTAGTGACCTGAGATAGGTACTGTACCTCCATACTCGAGTGGTGAAAGGCTCAAGTAAAACCTTGAATTCGACTAAATTTACCCGTGTCTTTTCCCTCATACACACTACCTACATCAAAAGACAGTCTGTCTGCTTAGACTCAACCCACTCAACCCACTCATCATGACTCGATTCCGACCTTGTATTGACCTCCACGCCGGAGAGGTCAAGCAGATTGTCGGCGGAACATTAGACAGCAAAACCAGTTCCCTCCAAACAAATTTTGTCTCACCACATCCTCCCGCTCACTTCGCCAAGCTGTACCGCGACAATGCCCTCACAGGCGCCCATGTTATCATGCTAGGCCCCGGCAACCGGGATGCCGCGCGGGAAGCTCTGGCAGCCTGGCCAGGGGCTCTGCAGGTTGGAGGCGGCATTAACGACACCAATGCCAAAGAGTGGATAGACGCTGGTGCTGAGAAGGTTTGTTTGTATGTCTCATATTCAAACAAATACAACTCTTACTAATGAACCAAAGGTCATCATCACCTCCTTCCTCTTCCCCAACGGCACGTTCTCCCAGGCCCGCCTCGACTCAGTCCTCGCCGCGCTCGACGGCGACAAGAGCAAGCTGGTGATCGACCTCAGCTGCCGGCGGCACGGCGGCGAGGACAGGTGGTTTGTCGCCATGGACAAGTGGCAGACCATCACCGACATGGAGGTCAACCAAGGTAAGCCCCCCCTCCCACCACCACCACTCCTTAAGCAAACCAGCAAACCACCCATCCCATCCCGCCCCCCTCCCACCCAACCCCTCTCTAACAAAACCCACCCCTCAGAATCCATCCGCCTCCTCGAGCCCTCCTGCTCCGAGTTCCTGATCCACGCAGCCGACAACGAAGGGCTGCAGCGCGGGGTGGACGAGGCGCTGGTGGCGCGGCTCGCCGAGTGGTGCAGCATCCCCGTGACTTATGCGGGGGGCGGGCGGCACCTGGCCGACTTGGAGCGCGTCCAGCGCCTGAGCGGCGGGCGGGTCGACCTCACCATCGGGAGCGCGCTGGACTGTTTTGGCGGGCGCGGCGTCACGCTGGAGGAGTGCGTGGCGTGGAATCGGAGGCAGGAGGTGGAGGAGAGGGAACAGGGGGAGGGGGAGGTGGCAGGCGAGGCAAAATAATAGGGGTTTGGGTCACGTAGGTGCATATATTTACGGTACGGCCGAGGTGGGCTTGTCCTTGCTGCGTCTGTGTGTATATATCGATCCGTGACGGCTTCCCTACCCCGAGCTATGGTCGTTAGGTTGTTGGTTACAGGTCTTGGTCAACATTCAGCATCATCTGCGGTCACTCCAGTCACCCAACAGAACTCAGAAACACAAACCGTAACCGAATTCATTCCATATAAATCTAACAAAAACTCAACAACTACACACAACTAAGAAGCGCAACTCCAAACCCCAACAGAGTCCCGGCTCATCGTCCCCACAGTATTAGTCAAGCCAGCTCGAACTTTTCTGCTTTTGCCTCCCTTCTCATCTAGCCACCGCAAGAGGGCGGTTCGTGGTGATATAGAGCATCAGCAGAACGAAGCGAAGATCAAACAAAAACACAGAACCCAACTCCAGCTCAGGCACGATGAGAGACACCCAGAGGAGAGCAAGAGCGACACACAATCGTAAATAGATAAAAGCAGACAAATCAAATACGCTTGCTAGACTGACAAAAACATAGACGTAAGAAAAAGGGGGGGGGGACGGTTACAAGCCCCTATGACGGTCTCCACCGTGTTATTGGTGGGAAAAAAAAAAAGAGTAGACAAACGAAGGAAAAGAAAAAAGTGGTGACGAGAAGAAAAGAAAAGCAAGAGAGGAGGGAGCTGGCTGGCCCGCGTCAGCCAAAGCCAGACCTCATGTGCCCATGTGTTTCCGTCCATCCATACCCGATCCAGTCCCATCCCATCCTAACCACCTCCATCCCCCCCGCATATCATCATCATCAACTTCCCCGCTCATGCTTCCCATCCATACTCCTAACAAACCGAACTCCACATGAATATTCCCATCCCAGCGTCTCAACACCCCAGCAGCAGCGAATGTCCAACCAACGCTACCAAACCCAACACCCGACATCATCATCCCATCATAGCAAGAGAAAACCCCCATCACCCCCACCAACCCCCACTACACATACATGCTCTTAGTACGCGAGTGGACCCTCCTCCCCTCAGCGCGCTTCTTCAGGGTATCCTCCCGCTTCAAGACAAGCTCACACCACTTGCCCTTCATGCGGCTGCCGGGGGCGCCGGTCAGGTCCTCGGAGGAGGAGGCGCCATCGACGGCGGAGCCGAGGCTGTCGCGGCCGAGGACCTCGCCGAGGACGCGCATCCAGCCCTCCTTGTCGGCGGTGCTGTCGGCATAGAAGTCGATCAGCTCCCCGTTGTTGAAGCGGATGCGGAAGCCCTCCTCGACAAACATGTAGCCCTCCTCTTCCTCCGCGAACGCCGAGCGGCGGCGGCGCCCGCCGCGGCCTGTGGTCTCCTTCTCCATGAGCGTGCGGCGGTCGTCAATGAGCCGCTTCGCGTTGGCGAGGTTGATGGTGGCGCGCGGCTGGCGCGTGGCTTCGTGGTAGGCGGTGAGCTTGGCACCCACCAGCTTGAAGTAGCGGCGGCGCCAGTAAGGGCAGTCGCCTCCCTGCTGGCTGAGGTGGCCCTCCCAGCAGCGGGCCAGGCGCTCCTCGGCAGCCTTCATCTCGCGGATGCACGAGTTCATGCTCTTGGGCATGTCGTCGTCGGTGGCGCCCTTGGCGCGCGGTACAAACAGCAGCTGCAACTCCAGCTTGCCGATCTTGTACGGCGCACGCCGGATCACGCCGCCCGTCGTGGCACCCGCAGCGTTGCCGCGCTTGCTCTTGACGCTGGACGCAAACCCGGCTTCTTCGGTCGCCCACTCGTTGAAGGCGGCCACGTCGACGAGGTACGGCCGGCCAAAGCAGCGCGGCTCGTGCTCCTTGAGACAAACGTAGGCGCGCGCAAAGCTACCGTCCTCTGCTGCCAGCGGGCTAAGGAGATCCCACGCACTGGGCTGCTGCGACGCCTTCAACACCATCTGGCGGGCCTGCGCGTCGCGCTGGGCGGCGAGCCGCTCCTCCTCTTCTTGCTGCTTTTGGCGCTGCTCCATCTCGCGGCGCTTCTTGGGAGAGGCAAAAACGCGGCTGAAGGCCGAGGTCTTAGGCTTGGAGGTCTTGGTGGGGGAGGGAAGGGCCTTCTTGTTGACAGGCGCGGGCGCGGGCTTCTCGAGCTTTACGTTGAGGGTGAGTTGGAACTCCAGGTCGTTGGGCACGACCAACTCAAACTCCTGCCCGATGGGTGCGTTGCGGGCGAGCTCAAGCCAGGCAGTTGTCACGCAGTGGACACCGTTGTCAAGCGTCAAGCTGAACCAGGTGCGCTCGTCTGTGGTTGTTAGTTGTTGTATGAGGGTTACGGGGTTGGAGGGTTTCTCTTACTCTTCGGAATCGGCAGGTCAAGGTCCTTGACTCCCATCACTTTAACAAAGAGCCTGCCTCTCTCGCCGCTCTCCTCGGTTGCCATCTCGACGGCCATGTCCTCCTCGTTAGCATGAGCAACAGCAGCCGCATTGCTCTCCTGTCCGGGAAGGGGGGGCACGGGACCGGTAGCGGGGTGGCGCTTCCGGATACTACGCTTCCTCTGTCCGCCGCTCCACGGCTCAACAGTCCATGACTGGGGACGGGTCGCCTTTACAGGTGAGTTGCCCGCAGACCGGCAGCCGCGAACATCATCGGAATCCTTATCACTGGCCGTGACCATCTTGGTGTTCTGGCGCATTAGGTAGCCGCGCTGTTTGCGATGAGATATGTTAGTAATTAAGTCGCCTGTGGTTGCTGTGAGGGGTAATTCATGTTCTTCAGATATCTCTCCCGCTTGGAAGAAACTGGCTGCAGTTGCGGAGGGCTGAACAGAAGGAACTTGGTAAAACGCAACCTTTTGAGCCTCGATAACCCGATCGAAGTCCTGGTCAAGGCTGAGGCCAAGGTCAAGATCGAGCGTCAGGCTGCGTTTCTTAAAACTTGGGTGACGCTCAAGGAAGTCGCTGGTCGCCTCGCTGATATCGGCCTCCATGTCACGCGAGATGCGGTTGCGGTGTCGTTCAGGGATCGGTGGAATTTCGCGGCTAACCTGGCGGCGAGCCTCGCGCATGGACGCAATATCCGATGGGGTGGCAGAGGGCCGGGTCTTGAGCTTGGATCCGGATGCCGACTTGATTGTCGCTATTTGCTCAGGGATTGCAGGAGATTGGCGTGCTGCTTCCTCCTCGATGCTGGGGATGGCAATCGGGTGGTGGATAACGGAGTCGGGAGTGCCAGGGTCGTCAGAGGCTTCCTCAGGTTCGCCCCAGCCTGATCCATCGTATTCAGGCTTGGTAAGGGACCTTGTAAGCTGCTGTTCCGGCGTGAAAGGCCGTTGGGCTTGTGTCTGAGCATCCGTCGTGCTCGACTTCTCGGGCTCGGCAGCAGCCGCCGGCTCCTCGGGTTTGGCGAGCATACAAGAATCAAGGCTCTTAGAAAACTCATTCTCCTCGGGCTGGCTTGGAATCTCCAACGACGCTCGTGCTTCTTGATCCTGAGCGGCGACTACAGGTTCATCCACTGGAGTCGTCGCCCGCGGGGTCGGAGCCTGATCCTCCTCGGGTTCCGGTGCTTTGTCCTTGTGAAGCCCCTCTTCATTAGAGTACTGACTCTCAGTTTCATCATCATATGAGCTCTTGTCATCGTCAAGCTCATCGTCAAGCTCATCATCGTCATCGGTTATCTCGGAGCGCTGGTACATGTCGGTGATGGAATCAACGTCGTAGTCCTCCTCAATGTTGCGGTTGATGATGACACTGCCTTCCTCATCAGAACTCTCGTCCATGTCCATCGTCACGGAGTCCTCCGTAGTTGGGATGGGGACATCTGGATCATAGGGGAGAGCGGGGTCGGCGGACGAGGGGCCGGCTGGTGACGAGAACTGATAGTCGGACTCGCGGTCGAAAAGCTTATTCCCGTTCACGCGACGAAGGATTGACTCCCGTGAAATACGGGGCGGAAGCTGGTACTCCTCGAGGCCCGACAATTCGCCAACAGTGTCTTCCTCCTCCTCGAATTGCGGAGGAGGTTGAACGCTGGGGCTCCGGCTCTCGCGTTCTGGTGTCTGGCTCTCTGTTCGCTCGCGAGCACCGGCGCGTCTCATGCGGCGCTCCCGCTGCTGTTCGGCCGCCGACTTCCCGTCGTCGGAGAGCATCATAAGCCTAAGCCGCTCCTCGAGCGGCATCCGGCCAGTCCCGATGTTATGGGCTTCTGGCGTGGTGCTCGATGCGGGCGGAGGCGAAGGCAAGCTCCGGGTGGCCGGACCCATCCCCGGAAGGGGAGGCAGCGGCCGACTCTCACCATTCGAGTTTGAGGAGTCGGTACGACGGTGAATCGGCCTCTGAGAAGTCGGCACCTCGTCGGGCATGGGGCTCCTCTCAAAACGATCGTCGTGGCTCTGCCTCCACTCATCCGGACCCATGACGGGAGTCTTGTCGGTGTCCTCCAGCGAGGCGTCGAAGCTGTCATCCGGGTCCATGCTACTGTGGACCATGTAGTGCTCGTCGTCATCATCATCCTCCTCCTCCGAGTCGTAGCTGCCTTCTCTCGAATTGCTCCCGATGGATGACAGGTCAGGCGTTGTCATCTCATACTCGTTCACCTGGGGAGGAGCTGCGTCGAAGGTGACGCTCTTTTGGTGCCGGTGGAGTGACTTGCCCTCGGGGAGATCGCGCTCGTCACCCGACACCTCGGTCCAGGTACCTGTCTCTGGGTCGAAGCTGCTCTTGAAACGGCTCGACAACGAAGACTTCATAGGGGATGGTTGGTCTTTACTAGGGGTTGTTGGGCGCATTGGCGGGCTCATGGGGCCTGGCGCGGTCTTGGAAGGGCTTAGGGTGGGGATGCTGGTCCTGCTTTCGTTCCTCTGATGGCCAAAAGGGCGGTTCTCGGAGCGGCCGGTGGTACCACTGCCGCCGAAGGCGTTGCCCTGGACTTTAGCCAGGGGCCGCTCAATTTGGGGGAGCCTGGTCGGGTCGTATTCGTGCTTCTGCTCGAGTGCTAGAATGTTGCTGTTCTTGACGCGGGATGCCTTTTGCAAACGTTCGATGGAGGATCGGCGACACGGTGATGGCGAGCCGGAACGACTGCCGTAGCTGTTTTCTGAGTTAAAGCTGCGATTCTGCCAGAACATGCGCGGAGAAGTGGTGTTTTCCAAGGGCGACGACTGGAATGGTGACGAGTCCGTGAGTGCCATTTTCTGTCGCATGGTAAAACCAACTGGGTTAGCCCTGGTCTTGCGCTCAAATAGGTGGCACAAGACTGTCTCACCTTGGTGGTCTGATTCCAGCTAGGCGAGTTACGCCGCTTCTCGGTCGGGGAGAGCTCGGAGAGTGGGCGCGGGATCGCGCTGCCAACTTTTGCTGGAGTAGGCATCGTGCTGCTCTTGGAAAGACGCAAAGGTTGTACCTTCAAATGCGCGCAATGTTAGGAATTTATTCCGGGTCGGGGAGGTTAAGGTATCGAGGTTAATTGAATGTAAGTTGCGGCGGCGACATACCGGTTCCTCAGATGTCATGCTCGGAATGGAAGTAACCAAGGGAGCGCGGGGTATACTTGGTCCAGGGCGCTTTGCTTTTTGTTGCGATTGCTGTTGTTCCCCAAGGTAAAGTATTATGACAAGCGCATGTGGCAGGCGTGAGGTTGCAGCCGTGCAAACAATTGAGAACAAAAATAAAAAAATAAAATTCCGAAAAGCTCGCTGCGCCGTCGCAAAAGAAACTGGCTCGTCGCAATCGCAGGCAAGAAGGAAGGAGAGACGCTGATGCTGATTGGGGTTATCAACGGATGCGATAACAAATAAATGTCGACCACAACCGCGCAGCAGTTAACGTATTTTCCGACACCGTTGATGGTGAGCAAGGAGACGAAGGTGAGATCAACAACTGCTGCACCGGCAGAGAGTTAATGGATTGTGATGTTTAAGGGAGCCGTCCTTGGTTTCTCAATGAGTGGTGCAACGAGCCAAACTATTGCCCCTGATTGGTTCATCTAAGTAAACAAGTCCAGCAGCCCCTCGTGCGGACCTTGGCTCCGTTGCTAGGCAACCCTACCGCAGCGAGCCGCTCCCGCCCACCTCTGCCAGGCGCACTGAAACTCCACCAAAAACAGCGGCTGAGCACCTCTCCCGCCTGCTGTGCCAGTTCCCTGCGGACTGAACCCCAGTCGCGCGCGCAAGCTGGCCAATCAATTCGGTTGAGTTTGTGTTGCCTGCCCAGAGCCATCGAATGCAAGGATGCCAGCGATGACAGACATGCCGCAGGTTTGAGGTAAACCAATGCAACTCCTTTGACCGGGCGACTGAGACGAGACATCATGCAAAAGGAACAGCATCCATTCAAAACCACATGGCGTGTCCATGAGCTTCGATCGAGTTCGCCGCCTTTGCATCGACGACTCGGTGCAATTCGATTCTAGATTCTAAAAAGAGAACTGGGTCTTCGCTGGGCAGCGGTGAACGAAGTTTTGAAGATGCGAAGCAAGAATCATACCAGGCCATAACTACACTCATTATCTTTTTGCTTGAGACATTTGGATGGGCACTTTACACGTGTGCGTGGAGTGGAGAGGAAACTCGCGCGCTGCGATGGCGATCATCTCTGGTTTCCACCCTTCCTTAACCTCCCTCCCTTGGGTACTTGCCTCACCATTTTCAAGGGCCTGCTTCAAGGGCTGTCTCTCACAAATTCTGGTCCTCGCTTCACCCCTAACCTTCCTGCCACCGCATTACAATGAATGCCCATGTGAAATTCTTAATCGCCATATCTTTTCTTTGTTCATCCCTTGATACAAGGCATCTTCGGTGTCGTTGTTAGGAATGGATTGTATTTCGGTAAAACTGTAAGTAGGAAGTACAAAGTTCAATGCACCATCTTGAGAAGTGATCAAATATTTCCGGACTCAATTCGTCAATTACACTGGACAAAAAGATATTTGAGGCTCTTCACCTCCTCCCGATCTCTCCCGAGCCGGAGCCTGCTCGGGGCCCATTTCGGAGGCCGGCAGTGCCCCGGCGGTCCACATCTTGTGCCAAGCCATTTCCCGCCAAGGCCCGACGAGGAATATCCTTCAGGTCCTTGGCAAACGGACACTTTCAGCCTCGTTATCATCGGATCAACCTGGCACCAAAAGAACTTCTCAGGCTCTTACACGCGGCGATTGGACATGGATAACCTCGCGTGGGATTTTCTGACAACTTTTTAGATAATTTATGGGCCATGAGTCAGCGAGGATCAGTCCGGGCTAACGTCGGCCAAGCTCAGTTGGTCCCATGACATCAACGGGCAGTCTCGGGACGCCCACCCTGGCCTCCGATGTTGGCTTGGTTTTTTTTTCTATGAGACACAGTCATCCACCAGGAATTGCATATATCTCACACAGTCTTACCATTAATAGAAAGTTCCCCTTACTGTTCCATATTCTGGGTTGTTGGTGTTTGCATCCAGTGACACTAACCATGTCCTCGTTATCACGAACCCCAAAAATAGCCCCCCATGGGCTCACCCGCTATAGCCAACTGGTAACCCCATCACACACAATAATGAGATGCTTCAGTGTCGCCAAAAGTTGGTATTTTATTTCCCGATTTGTAAGGGTAAACCTACTAACAGACTTCATCAGACAATGACACCCGCAAGGAACGGGTCGTCATTCTCGGTTCAGGCTGGGCAGGTTACGGCTTCGCTCGAACCCTTGACCCGGCAAAGTACGAGCGTGTGATAATCTCACCGCGCTCTTACTTTGTATTTACCCCCTTGTTGGCCTCTACTTCGGTCGGCACCCTCGAATTCCGCACCATCTTGGAGCCTGTCCGTCGCCTGCCAGGGAAAATCGGCTTCTACCAGGGCTGGGCCGATGACATCGATTTCCACCGCAAAACGATCCGCGTCGAGACAAACGCCGCTGAAGAAGCTGCAAGCAAGACGCGTGTTCCAGCACCCTTCCCTTCACCGTCAGAAACCAGCGGCTTGGAGAAGGAGGTGTCGGCGGTGCCCCAAAAGCCCAAGGGAGACCTCATCGACATCCCATACGACAAGCTTGTCATTGCCTGTGGAGCCTACAGCCAGACCTTCGGCATCGAAGGCGTCCGAGAACACGCCCACTTCCTCCGCGACATCGGCGACGCCCGGCGCATCCGTCTGCGCGTGCTCTCGCTGTTCGAGCAGTGCTCGTACCCGCGCGGCTCCGATCACCTCAGCGACGCCGACAAGCGCCAGCTCCTGCACTTCGCCATCGTCGGCGGCGGGCCCACGGGCATCGAGTTCGCCGCCGAGCTGCACGACCTCATCCGCGACGACCTCGCCCCCATCTACCCGGAGCTCGTGCCCCTCGTCAGCATCACCGTCTACGACGTCGCCCCCAAAGTCCTCCCCATGTTCGACCAGGCCCTCGCCGGCTACGCCATGGAAACCTTCGCGCGGCAGAACATCCACGTCAAGACAGAGCACCACCTGCAACGACTCCGCCTCGCCGACGGCGAACTAGGCCGCCGCCATAACGCGCTCAAGATCAAGATTGCCGAGTACGGCGACGAGGAGGTCGGTGCGGGCCTAGTAGTCTGGAGCACGGGCCTGATGGCCAACCCTTTGATGGCCAAGCTCGCGGCCAAAAACCTCCCCCTAAACGGCACCAACCCCCTCTCCACTAGCCCCGGCATTACCCGCCACCTGCTCCGCGACGGCCGCACGGGGGGCATCCTCACCGACGGCTACCTCCGCGCGCGCACCACCACCACCACCAACGGCAACAGCAACGCCGACGACAAGGCCACCCCGCCCGGCGCAGGCGGCGTGCTCGACGACGTGTACGTGATCGGCGACTGCGCGGTGATGGAAACAGACACGACGCTCCCCAAGACAGCACAAGTAGCCGCGCAGCAAGCCAGCTACCTCGCGCGGCAACTCAACAAGGGCACGAGCACGGGCGCGGGCGACGAGGGCGGGAAGAAGAAGAACAAGGCGTTCCGGTTCCGCAACTGGGGCACGCTGACCTACCTGGGCAGCTGGAAGGCGATCCACCAGAGCCAGGCGGACGAGCTGAAAGGGTGGGTGGCGTGGGTGGTCTGGCGCGGGGCGTATCTGACCAAGAGCATGTCGTGGCGGAATAAGGTGTTGGTGCCCGTGTATTGGGTGGTGTCGTGGCTTTTTGGGAGGGGCATTAGTCGGTTCTGATTTCTGCGAGGGGTAGTTGTAAAGATATGATGTGTGTGTGTGTGAATATGTGTAATATTAGGGCGGGTGTGGTTTATGGAGTTGGGTTTGTGGTTATAACACGATAGATTGATATCCTTGTAAAAATAGACACGGGTGCTTTTAGACGGCTGATAGCATTGGCTCTGTTCACATTGAGGTGTGAGCCTCGTGATGTGTCACCCACGCTCGCGAGAAATCGTCAAGCCTCGGTCCTCTGTCCTCAGAACAGTGTTCTTTTAAGGGGTATTTTGATGGGGCTCCAGAAAGGCGCGGCGGGCAGAGCACGAAGAGTGGCGCATACGCCCTACTGTCCTTCTCATCGATGCCTGCTCTCAGTTTAGCGCACCGCCATGGCTTCCTTTGACGTCAACACTTGGCACCGTGCTGTCCAAGAGCCCCATGCATGGCAGTTGCTCCAGGTGTTGTTCGAGAGTCACACTGCAGTGCAGCAACGGGTGGATGCATGCATCGACATTCTGTGTCCCTTGTGGCCGTTTGAAGTGACGGCTGTCGGCTACCCCCGCGCAACTGGAGGTGTAAGGAAACCTCCTTCGGCGTAGGTCTAACCATAAAAGCCGACACGACCGGCTATCCCTCCATTATGAAAGTCTCAGCTTCTTGACTCCGATCTTTGTAGGGACGGCATCGATTTTCGTTTCGAGAAATTTGCCAGCCCGCGCCTCCTGGAGCCAAGCGACTTCGATGCGGGCTACGTGGTGACGCACGAAATCGACTAACCCTTTTGCCTGCGGGGCATCTTCCCGCAGTCCGATGCTAGAAACCCGGGGTATCCCGAGCGCCGCACTCAGGCGGTCCTCACAAGCCTTGGAAAACCCAACCAGCCTGACGGCCTTGTCCGCCGGCTGGGATTGAGCAGCAAGAGCTACCATCTGGGGGAAGTGAGAGTGGAATGTCGATGGTTGGCCAGAACGGGCCACGAAGACCACGGCATAGGGCCTGGCGTCGATTTTGTGCTCCTCGCCACCGAGACCCGAGGGTGCGGTTTCTGATGTTAGGTTGCGTTTGTCCTGGCTAGACATGGCCTGCAGCTCGCGGGAGATTTGGGAGAGCCCTACATCGACATAGGCGGACAGTTCTGGTGTGGGGGGTAAATCGGAGATTCGTGATGTTCCCTCAGGGTTCTCTAGACTACCTGCTTTCTTGGCCCGTTTTCGTTTTCCCTTGGATGGGGGAATGAAAGATTTACGGTGAACGCCTAGGGGAGCCAGTAGTCTACAAGGTGCATTGTCAGAGTGGCCGTTTCAGTCAGAGGGGAGAGGTGCATTAAAATGAGACTCACTGGCATAGAAGCTCTAGGATGGCATCTTGGTCCTCCTGATTTATTCGAGGCCTTGCATGCGAGTCAGCAGGCAATCTTCACATGAAGATACGGAGCTCAGTCAGGTTTTGCTCACCATTCGACGGCCGAGTAAGGCGTATCGAGGGTGTGCACGACCCTCTTCCGCTCCATCGAAACACCGTCACCACTTGTGAGCTAGTCGAGCTCTTTTACCCCGATATCGAATTTGGGACCAATTATGGTTGTGATGACGACTTTGAAGAGCTGCAGTGATGATGCGTTCGACGAAAAAAGAGCGACAGGGGGAGAATGGAAGGCGCCGTGCGATCCGGGACTGGGACCCACAGAATTAGCTGCTCGGCACGAATCGAGATCTTTGTCTGAGATTTTAAACATACACCGGTGTCAACATAGTCTCGCTTTCGAGAATTTATCTTTAGAGCTAACATTATGTTGGTTGCTGTATACATACAAGGATGGAAACTTTGTTTATGGTATACGATATTTGTGGTGGACCTAGGGCCTCCGCTAATTCTGCCTGGAGCAAACGGGCCTCGGGAACGAGAGTGTCTACCCGGGCTGCTGGATATGCGCGGATCGGGTCATTCTATCCAATGCTGTGGTGCTCAAATGACTACTGTGTAAATTTTGTGTACCTACTACAGTATACATACAGATAGTTAGAGTACTTCGTCCTTAGTAAAGCTTCCTCCTAGTTGCTGTGCTCTGCCATATCTGTCTATCGTCTCAAACAGGGTCATCCCAAAGAACAATTATCGGGCCTAGACTGTGTTTTTTGTTTTTCTCTCCTGCTTTCTTATCCGATCAATCAGGTTGAGACATTGCGCAAAGAGAGAAGCGTAAAATATCGGCCGGTGCCCGATTTGTGTTACTGACATTGTCTCGTCGGTGAAGCAGCCCAGTGCAAGCAGGTTTATATGGTCACCCCACCCCCACCATCGCGTCATTGGATGCTTTTGTAGCTCCCGTCTGCTCCACGCCCCGCAGCCGCGCAGCCCCTCCTCGTTCGTTTCTTTCCGTCATTCATTCCATCCTTTGCCGTTGCGGGACCCCAAGCTCCCGAGGAACCTTACCTCCAAGCCTCCACCCAAAGGCAGGTTTTCTTAAATTCGGATCTTAAGAACATCTTTTGTTTTCTGCCCCAACACCGGCATTAGGTTATTTGTTTCCTTTACGAATTTGGCTACCAACTGTGCACTGTTGGCTACCAGCGGCAGGTATGTGTTGATTCCGGGGTTTCCATCTCTTTTTCGCGGCTCTCCATTCCCCGCGTCTGCCTGTTCCAGGCCTCCCCTCTCTGAACCCAGAAGCCACAAACCACCGAGAGCTTGGTTGTCACCTTGTCTCTCCCGGTCACTGAGGTACATCGACCGTGCTCCCAAACCTCCCCAACCGAGCTCACCCGCACCCCACTCCCCACACCCACAAACATCCGACCATACAACCCCCCCAGCATCGAGGACAGAGGCTTGAGCAGAAGAAGAGAACATCCGCGAACATACAAACATCAGAAGAGCTTCAGCGAGCCTGTCGTACTACTTCCATTCGCCGGCAAGCAGCTGCTTGCTCTCTCTTTGTCTTCCATCGGCAACTTGCTTTCTAGTCAAGTTGCCTTTCTTGATTACAACTTTTCCTAGGTAGGCAACACGTCCACTGCCCGGAGATCCCTAAAACCGGGGCCCCAAACCTTTGGGTGGCTTTGGTTGCCGTGTCTGCCTCTTCCCCCCAGCACAACCTGTTTAATCCAAAAGCATCCACCCCCACCTTCTCGGGCCTGCACCTATCACAAAACACCACCACATGCTCACAACTGCACGATCTAGAAGCTGCCACCAAGCTTCCCGAGCGGAGCTCACCCGTCTGCGGAGCTGAAGCCGCCTTCCCCATAGTCATCTCTTGCGCCAGCCCGATGGCTCAAGCTTCGACAGCCGACCCGTCGAGTGATCGTGCTGTCTCTTCCGAGCCTTGCTCGACTCGCCCCAATCCCTTTGACGACGATAACGAGCTCTCCTCCAGGAAGCGACGTCGCACATCCCTAGCAAGCGACTCTCGAAGCCGATCGGTTGAGACCCTTCGCTCTTCCCCTAGCCCACCCGTTGCGGGCACTTCGGCCATCGATTCGAGAAGCGATTCTGCCATGAAGATTGACTCGGACCTCGCCATACCCGCCACCCCCGAGCGGCAACAACCCGCCGCCGAACCTACCTCTGTCTCTAACCCACGATCTAGCCGCGTCACAATAAACGTACGAACACCGTTACAGTTACAGACCCTCGAGGCGATTCCTTCGTCCCCCCCATCGCCCTCGCCCATGCACAGGCGTCGTACCCCGCCGCCTGCCGCATCTCAAACACATGCCGTCAACACAACCGCGAATGAAGTAGACCCCGCCATGCCGGCTAACGGTACGGCATCCGATGTTGCGATATCGTCGAGCTCGGATAGCGGGAGTCCGCCGGTTGAAATCATCTCTATGGTCGTAGAAGATGACGCCGAATTCGATGACAATGACTCTATCACGATGTTGGATGACTCTGGCCGGTTACTTGAGTACGACCCGTCCGCATCATTCCCATTTCACGACAGCGCAGAATCCTATATGGAAACTGTGATCCGGTTGTTGCCATTCTTGCCAACCCGTAAGAGCAGCCCCCTCCCCCTACAACCTATCTCATTGACCAATTCCCGGGTAATTCTGACACGTAACACCCTAGACGAGCAAGTACCTCGCGCATTCATCGAGTGGATAGACAAGTATCTCATCTTTGTCAAGACTGCGCCTCTCCCCGCCGTCGAAGATTCCACCTTCATGCATCGAGATATGTGGCAAGCTGTGCCCCAACTGGTTCTCCACATGGTGTCTCGGAAGTGAGTTTGATGTACGAATGCACATATTCGTAATAAAACTGACTTTGATCACAGGGCCCTACCCCCGGGCTAAAGATATAAGGCACGAGATTTTTGGTTTTTTCAGGTCCTTTGCGCAGTTGGCAGCCTTCTTCATCGAGATGGATCTCCGAGCCCTGCGAAGTCAAACCATGACCGACGAGGCGCGCGTCCAAGCGCTCGCTTCACCACCTTACATCCACGCACTTGGAGCCCTCGCGCGCCGGGAAGAGGTGTCAATACACAGTTCACAACTCTCGCGCAACGGGGACGATGATTGGAGCTACGTCGCTGAGATGATGATGATCGTGGACGCATTTCAAAACTTTCCGACAGTCCAAGGAGGGTCCCTCTTCCTTATTCGGCAGCTAGCCACGCCCGAGCTCGAGCTTGCGTCCCAGTTCCCTCGGCCGATCACTGATCACCTCGGTAATCTATGCCTGGTAGCGGGGAACATCATGAAGTACACGTTCCGCAGGGCACAATACTCCACCGGCCAGCAAGTCAGTGAACCTGCGAAGCGCGCCATCGCTCGCATGTATACCTTCTTCACGACCATGGCCGGCATGCTTTCGGACATGATCGACAAGAACCTCAACCAGCTCTCGTCCGAGGGTGCGGCAAACCTTATCGAGGGACTGACAGAGATATACCAGACCTGCCTAGCCACGGGTGGCATCGTCCCTTCGGCTGTCATCGACCGTCATCTTCAGGACCGACCGGCCGTCGCTCCACATTTTGTGCCGGAGGCAATTTCATACCATTGGAAGTTCACGCACTTTGTCAAGCTCATTAGATCCGGCCAAATGCAGTTACGCGTTATGGCGGTGAGTACCATGTGCAGCGATCTCGTTGCTTTGTACCGCAAGAACGCCGACCCGCCTGGAGAGGAGGCCACACTCTCTCTGTTGCGCTACGTTGCGGACTTCCTTCTGAGTACGGGGCTGGTGAACTACATCTTGGGCCCGACGTGTCATCCGGAAATCACCCTTGAGAGTAGCAATGTCATCGGCTTTCTGGTCGTCTCGACCACATATTCGCGAGCGCACACCGACGCCTTGTGGCAGACAGTCACGTCGACACAAGACCCCCGGGTATCGGACGCTCTTATCCGAATGATTGGTCGCATCGCCAACCTGTTCCCGCAGGAATCGCTGATGTATTTCCTGGATAAGTTAAATACGGTTCCCGTCGAGGTCTTTGGCTCAACCATGCGAGAGTTCTGCGACCAGGTCCTCAAACAGATTCTCACTCGCTTCCCAGAGAGTCTGCTCACCGATTCCGCCCCGTTCAACCTGTTCATCCGCCTCATCCGCCAATCCTCGGGGTTGGGGCCACAGTCACCGGTTGCGTATCCCGACCTTCAGCAGTTCGCGATACAGAAGTTTGACAGCGTTCTGAACCACGGCCCTGGCCAGGAGGGCCGCTGGAAGATCTACCGCGACTGCTTGAGTGACATCGCGCAGCAGTCCCCATCCACGATAGGGAGCCTCTGGGTTCTTAAGATGACGATCCGGTTTCATCATGCCCGGGACTTGCACGAGTTGGCTTCTGAGCACGACCTGACCAAACTCCTGATCGAAGAGCTCGCTGCTACTATCCCCGTGGCGAAAGCGGCTGGCTTTCCCTGCCGTCATCAGTGGGGCACAGAACGTTCCTCGAAAGGAACTTCTAACGTCACTGATATACCAGGAATCCACGGCAATCACGCAAGAACTCGGACCGAAACTGTGGGGCCTCCTGGTTGGTTCGGGAGCGGCGTGCCAGGAGGACCGGGATGCCGCGTGGCAAATCCTGACCATTGCGATGAAGCGAAGCTTAGGTCGGAACCCTTTCGCGTCGGTCTGCTTTGCCGAGTATCTCCTAGCCCTGGACCCCGAGCTTTTCTGCCAGGGTGCTCTTGACTTTGTCCGCGAGGGTGTGATGCCGCTCGTGAACGACCCCGCTAGCATTGTTCTCGACGATGAGGAGAACTCTAAAAATGCTGGAATCGAAATGCTGTGGCGGATTGCTCTTACTGCCCCGACGGGAACAGTCGAGAAACGGGCTATCCACACCCTGGTCAGCGATGTTTACCTCGAGAGTCGGTCCATCCAGTCGTTCCCACCTCATAGGGCCAGAAAAGTACATCTGGCCCTTGCTGACCGGTGCCTCGGGCAACTCTCGTCGGCAGCTGCGAGGCTAAAGACCTTTGCCGATGGCACCACTAGCGGGGACGACGACTCCATGGTTATCATTGCCACGGACCGACAAATCCAAGAGCAAGAACTATTGTTTGTCCGCTCCCTGGCGGTCTTAAGAGAGTTCCACCAGGCCCACCAGGCCAAGCCGCAGTTTTCCACGCCGGACATGAGATCGCTCATCCCCAACTCGCCGAAAGAAATGGAGGGAGAGTCTGCAGGACTCAAGTATCAGTCGTTTGATGGTGACAAACAGACCACGGTTATGCCCCTCGACATCGGCAAGGGCAACACGGCTGCAGCGTTGCTTGCGAGGCTGCGGGAGGCTACCGGCTTCGAGTGCTACCGGATTTACTACCGGGGGAGGCCGTTTCTTCCCCTGGAAAGTGATATCTGCAAGTCCCTGGACGATCTACAAATTCACAACGGCCTTATTCTGGTCAAGAGAGAGACCGAGGCCCCTACTTCACCAAGGGTTCCCCAAGGTGCATCTTCAGTCGAGGTTGAGATCTTGAACCACTTCGATGAATTGTGGGAATACCTATCGATGGATGAAAAGCTCGCTCGTGAGGTAAGAACCCCGGGGATTCCCCAGGTGCTCAAACGGCAACACTAACCATCGGTAGATATACGGGTTTTTGGCCAAGCTCCCCGTCGATAAAAATCTACTCGAGGCAATTAGCAACCCCTCGGTTTCCTACCTCCACACATTTCCTCTCGCGCAGCCATTTAAGTCGCTCTATGCCGTCCATGCTCTTCAAGAGTATCTCGGCTCCTGGCGGCCAAGATCCGCGGCTGTAGGGGAGCCGAGTCGAACCGACGATGACAGTCCACGTATGGCCTCCTTGGCCCGAGCCATGTCCCTCGTCGTCCCAGCAATCTCGGACCCTCAGGTTGTGGCCCAATGTCCGACCCGGGAACTGCAAATCGAACTTGGTTCTGCTCTCGTAGCCTTGCTTGTTTCCCTTCTCAAATGTACTTAACGCGTTTGGTTCTCTTTTTTTATGACTCCCATTTTACTGACCTGCTATGGGGCGCTCAGGTTCCGAACTTCCGGCATCCACGGCCCAGTCTCTTGACGCTCCCCTCCTGGATCGTCTTCTTGCGATTCTCTCAGTGGCTACTGCCTCTAGTCCTCAAAAGGGCGCCATCAAACACATAGCCCTGTGTCTCCAGAGCATTCTGGAGAGTTGTTGCGTGAGCGACGGCTTTTTGGCGACGTTCGCCGCCCACCCAGACGTTCCCCATGTTCTTGAAGACCTCCTCCTCAACGATTTGCGGGCCACTGTCCGGCGAACAACGGCGGTCCTCATTCGAGAAAAAACGGGCGCAGTGGCAGAGAATGAGAGGTAACCATGGCCCTGTGGTTTCTTCCTATTTAGCATGAACTAATGTCTTGTGTCAGCTTTGCGGAAAAACGGTCAACGGCAGTTGCTAAACTGAGAGAGTTCTTCTGGCCTCTCATCTCGCGCCTGGTCAGGCCAGCGATCACAGGCACTGGAAACTCAGAGGAGATACTTGAACTATGTTCCGACATGCTCAGCACCCTAGAAGAAACGCAGATCAGAATGCTGGATCTCAAGCAACTGTCAAATGACTGGTTCGACCTGCTTGTCAAGTATACTGCGTCCGAGGTACGCTCGGTGTTCTCTAGCGCGCACATCGTCACCTTTTTCTAACTGTTTTTATCCAGGATCTCACCAAGCCCAACAAAGTTGACTATGTTGCGGCCGGCCTAGTTCGGCTCCTGCATGACATTTCGTGCAGTCGCAGCGGGCGAGCCGGTCGGGACATACTTCCAGCGAGGTTGGTATTTTTCACGCTCTATCTGTAAACGATACAGATATACTGATGTTTCCCTAGGGGTACCGCTCAAAAAATCTTTTGGAAGCACCTATTCCCGCACCGTGAGGAGGTGACGAGAGAAGTCGGTCGTAGTCGGCCCATTGGCTGCCCCCAAACCCGGGGCCGGCTAATGGAAATTATCTTCAGGCTAGTCAAAGATGACCCTACGCAATACCTGTGGCTCGTCGACGATATGCATGACTTGGTTCCGGTTTTTCCGACCCAAGATGGTGGTGAGTTACGCCGCCCAGAAACTACCTCAAAAGGGACACACAACTGACCTTCCAGACGTTTATTCCTATGAGCTCCCTCAGCAGTTTGAGAGATCTAAAGCAATCAGAGCGCCCTGTGGCTATCCTGGCGTCCGCAACCTGTCAAACACTTGCTACTTCAACTCGCTGATAACCCAGCTGTTCATGAATGTGGACTTCCGCGAGTTCATGCTCGGTGCCACCGTTCAAGACCGCACATACAACCAGCAGTTACTTTTCCAGACACAGAAGTTATTCGCGTTTCTGCAGGATAGCGTCCGGCCTTTCATCAATCCCGAGGACTTTGTTCTTGGCATCAAGACCTACGAAGACACTCAGATCGACGTCGTCGTCCAGATGGATGTTGATGAGTTCTACAATTTGCTTTTTGACCGGTGGGAGGGCCAGTTTTTGACGGCTGAGGAGAAGAACCGCTTTCGTTCCTTCTACGGGGGCCAACTTGTCCAACAAGTCCGCTCCCAGGAATGCGAACACGTATCTGAACGGCTCGAGCCTTTCTCGGCAATCCAGTGCGATATCAAAGGGAAATGCACATTGCAAGAAAGCTTGCAGGCCTACGTCGACGGCGAAATTATGGAAGGCGGTATGTGCCGTGATTAACGTGACGGAGGGTGGCTTGTGTCGATACTAACAGAGCACAGATAACAAGTACAAATGCTCTACCTGCGATCGTCATGTCGACGCTGTCAAGAGGTCCGTGGACACATTACCTCACTTTATACCCTCGTTACTAACCGTCGGGAACAGAGCCTGCCTGAAGGATATTCCAGACAATCTCATCTGTCATCTAAAGCGCTTTGACTTCAACCTGCGGACCATGCAGCGGAGCAAGATCAATGATTACTTCGCCTTCCCCGACAAGATCGACATGCGGCCGTACACCATCGATCACCTCAGCAATCCTGGCGAAGACGAAGACATCTTCGAGCTTGTTGGCGTCCTTGTTCATACCGGAACGGCGGAATCAGGCCATTATTACTCATACATCAGGGAGCGCCCGACCGACACCGACGCCCAAACTTGGGTCGAATTCAACGACGAGACGGTCACCCCGTGGGATCCCGCCTCGATGGCAAACTCATGCTTTGGAGGCACAGATTTCCAGCCCCAGTTCCAGTCAAGCAATGCGGTCTTTGAAAAGCAGTATAGCGCCTACATGTTGTTCTACCAGAGGTCATCGGCTCGGACCAAGAATCAGGTGGTGCCGCAGCCGCCCCAGGAGCGCTCGATTCCTCTTGCCGTGAAGATGCCCAAGGACATCCAACAGTTTATCAAGGAGGAGAATGCCTGGCTGCTCCGGAGGCATTGCCTGTTTGACCCGTCCCAAATCCAGTTTGTGTGCTTGATCCTCTCTAATGTGCGGAGCCTGCATTCGGATGGGTGCTCTTCGGACCATGCCCTAGAGACGCAGGCAATCTTCATGGCTCTTGGCCACCTGGACCAAGTTGCGTCACGGACGAAGGATGTCCCCGACTTTTACACGCTTCTGGGCAGCATCCAGACCATGTGTGAGAGCTGCTGTCGCTGCAGCATCGCAGTGCACGACTACTTCAGCAGGTGCGTCTTCGCTCTCCGCATGTTGATGCAGAGGAACGCGGACGAGGATGTTCGTCAGGCGACAGTCAACTTCATGATTCACGTTCTCCGGTCGATCAAGGCACATGCCCCGTTGCAATACGGTCTTCCGCCCCTCGAAATGGATGACGAGGGCGATTCGGATGAGTTCGACCCGCGGGAATCGGTCATAGTGGGGGTGATCGAAAACCTCGAGCACCTGTGGCTGAACTTCCACATGAACGTGCGTTCGTGGCATGAAGTTTTTGATTTCATGCTGTCCTTCGTCAAGATGGGCCGTCACGAACTGGCGGCTTTCTTGGGGCACCACCACTTCTTCAAGTGGCTGATATGGATCGTGTGGGCAGAAACAGAGACCGAGCCGTATCTCTCGCCGCAGTTCGTTAGACTGGTTTCTTCCATTGCTAAGAGACCGTCTAACCGGCCACCGTCCTACGAAACGATCATTGCCCTCCTGGACTTTTTGCTGTCAAACATCCGGTTTTCGTACACGGCCGATGGCCGCCCCACGGGTGCAGCAGACGCTCGAGAGCGGGTGAGGTTCAGGACGGATCCGGACCAGCCATTCGATCTCACCATAGAGGAAGGCGAGATTCTCCATCGGTCGGGCACCGATAAGGTCAATACCTTTGCGGACAGGCTTATTTCGATTGCCCAGAACCCAGCAGCAACCCACTCGATCATCACAACCCTGATTAAAGAGAGCGACGAGATGGAGAGTAGCATCTTTCGCACGTTTCTCTTCCGGATATCTGGGCAGGTAAGCCCGGTCGCCGTCTCGCCGTATCTGCGTGTGGCCGGAGCGACGTTCTGTCGTGCCGCAAGTGACGCAGACTTGGTCAATAATTTGGTCAAGCACACGTCACATCAATGCATGTCGTTGCAGAACGCCGAGGGCAAGGCGTTCCTGGACTTCATGCGGGAGACGTTTGACGGACCGCGAGAGAGGACGGGGGAGACGGCGCACCAAATTGTCATGGCTGGCCTCGACAATGTGCCTGACTGGGCACCCGGCTTGCTCGCCTACTTCGACATGTCGGTCGTTGATGGAACTGAGACTTTCCTGCACGAAAAGATATTCCGGTACCGCACTTTCCGGCCCTCCGGCAGCGAGGACACGGAAGAGGCGCGGGAATTGACCGAGAAGATGCGGCTAACGGCCAGGGCCCTGGGGGTAAGGTGTCTATACTATCTTCGGGATAATTACGTGGTCCGCAATGCGGAGGTGACGGAGCGCGCAGTTGGGGGCTTGCAGCGAGTGATCAAGCAGTGCGGCAGATACTTTAATCTGAAGGAGCCAGCGGAAGATAGCGAGGCCCCGGGCTTCATGCAGCTCAACCATGGTAAGCGGCCATTTTATGCTCACCTTCTCACACACGGCAGGGCTTACACGTGGAATAGACGTCTTTGATGCACTGAACGGGCTCATGGTAGTGGACGACTTAGAGGAGGATGGCTCGGGTATGTATTATAGCGACGAGTCAAGCGTCGCATCAAGCAACACGGCCGGCTGATACCGGGTCTCTGCAGACTGGGCAAATTCATCCGTGGGCTCCGGGCAACTCGACGGATTTGAAGACGCCGTCACGCACGAACTGCGGGGTGGGGAAGAGTAGAGAAGGAGACGGCAGGGCATAATGACACCACGAGATTATGACCACGGCCATGGCAAGTGGCCCGGCGGATGCTCCTCCACCAAACGGGGGAAGCAATTTTACGGGATGCATTTGGTGCGACGATAATAGCACGAAAACGAAACGGAAGGTGTCATTTGCCTATGGATCAGCGGCGGCGTCAGAGCGGAAAATCAAGGGGCATCAAGCATTCACAATCTGCATTTCCCAAAATTACCAGCACGGACGGCGCGAGACTTTGGGACGGATAGAGGAACGGGTTGGGAACCGGTCTGGTCTGGTCGGGGTCGGGCGGGTCACTGTATTGTTTTTTATTAGATTGCACATTGCACTTGTCTGGAAGGGGGAGTCTCCATAGAGGACCGGCTTCCATGCATGACAGGCGTGGCTGGGTGGGACATTGGGTTTTTATTGCTGGTATTTTGGGGATTTTTCTGCTTCGGTTTTCCAGCTTGTGAGCCTGGGCTGGATTTCTTTTCTCGAGGGAGTCGGGTAACTAGAGAGAGGGTCTCAACAACATTACGGGTCAAAAACCAGAACATTACTCTTTTCAGTTGGGACTTTTGACGAGGCCTGACTATTTTTGACACGGGCGGGATAAGGTATTGTGATTGAGAGCAAAGTACATACGAGTAGTTACAGGGTACCTAATGGCACACTAGACTTCGATGAGGCTCGGGCTGCTCTAGCGCAAGACGCCCGAGACAGGTCACCACGAGGCCGGGTGTGACTTCCGGGGATGGGAGGGTCTGTCTCTGTCGATTAGTTAAACTGATTCGAAAGATCAGAAGCTGCATCCACACATCACATCTCAGATCAGAAAAACCAATCACATTTCGAGAAGAGGCGTTGGGACTTGCATTCTCAAAATAGCTGTGCCTCTTTCTTGTTGCGAATGTCGTTGGTTCCCGACAAGTCCAGAGAACCTTGTCTCCCCCAGTTTATTAGACGCCCGGACTGGATTGGCTGGCTGGGGAGTTCCGAGAGAGAACCTGGCTTGCCTGGGAGCTTAAACCTGCTTCGTCGAATCACGCTAAAAGGTCCCGAATTGGCCTGTGCTCCGCTACCCCGCATGAGATGAGAGGTCAAGACTGAGTGGGCGGGTCCCCTGAAATAGTTCTGGCCTGGCCAGAGAGGCATGGGGTTAGCCGCCGAGGCTGCTTCCTTCGCTTCCTTTTTTCTTCAATTGTTCTTTGATTTGTTAGGTGAGAGGTGGCGTGTTTTTGGCGGGCGGAGGGATGGTCTTGTGTTTTCTACGCTTCTGCCTGTATTTTTGGGCTGATTGTTGGGTGATAATGCTGGGCTATGGCCGAGGTCTACAATTGTTTTGTTTGCAAGCGCAGAAAGGTTCTTAAATAAACTTCTTAATGGAAGCATTGGCATCTTAAACCAAACACGCATTTTGTTGTTGTTGGTCTGGGGCCTTTGACAAAGGCGCATCTTCAGCCGACCCCAACACATGGCCCATGCGGGGCGGGGCCGGTCGGCTGGCCGCCCACCCAGAAGCCTCGCTTTGCCGACCTCACCCCTGCCAACTGCAACGCTATTGCAGTGGCTTCTTTCCTTCCCGAGACCTCATCACAAATCACACGACGTGCATGACGCCCTCGTTGTCAAGGGAGAGAAAACATGGCCAACGGCACCGCGTGCTCACCGCACCACGCACACCATGCACCATGCACTACGCGGGATGACTGTCGTGATGAGATGCTATTTATTATTTTGCACCGACCCGTCATGGCGGGAAACTGCTGGTGCTACGACCTGAAACGAGGGCACAATTAGGTTGCCTGATGCTGGGAGAGTTGTTGCTTGTTTCATCTTTTCTTCGCACCTACTTTGACTATCTCATCGCGTCTGGTTGTTAGCCGCCCATTTTTTTTTTATCGGCCCCAATCCCAGTCCCCGTCCCTGTCGTCACCATACCCCTTTCATTCCGGGTGCCCGTTGTTTCGTTCTTTGTTTGGAAACATTGTTTGCGTTTCCCGATCGGGTCTTGAAACAGGGCCTCGCATGCGAGATGCCAGATGCGCAGGAACCTTCTTTTATAATCTGCATGTCCGTCTTGTTTTGCATCTCGAAGGATTCCGTTTGAGGTTTGAAGAAGACGGTCAGCCACCGCCGCCATCATCAGTCAACTGGGTCAGCCTTACCGCAGACCCTATCTTGGCTAGGTACTTAGAGTACCGGCCAGCCTCTTCTCTCTAGACCTATCACTCCTTCTCTTTCTGAGCCGGGCACTCAACAACAAAGTCGGCATCATGTCGTTCTCCCCGTGCATCAGGGGTCGCATCTCCTCGCCCCTCGAAGCTGGCCCTTCCATCGCCGATGGCCATCACCTGCCCGCCCACGTCAACGAGGCACTCGAGTATGCTTCCAAGCGCCTAGGAAGGAAAGCGGCCCACATCACCCTTTTGGTTGTCCGCCGGGACTACCAAATACCCACATCACCCATCTCTTCTCCAACATTTACCCCTAGCCCGCGTCTAGTGTCGGCCGGGAGCACACCGTCCAGGTCTACCTTTCCCACCTCGAGGATCGAAGCCCTCAAGCAGCTCGTCCGGCCAAACAACTCGGGGGAAGCGCAAATAAGGGAGAGGATAGTCCACGTTCACCTGGACCAGCTGCGCAATGGAACTGCTTCGCCGGCTTTCAGTGAGGCGTCGGCATTTTCGGCCGCCACAGCCTCCTCAGCGTCGACTTCCGACTCGACTTTTAGCCGTAGGATACGATGGCCGGGCAGCCCGACGGCATACGGGAGTGTCCCCGTGACCCCAGCTACCCCATTCACCGTCATGTCGTCATTATCGGGGGCAGAAGGGAACGGCGCCGGCTCCCGGTTGGGAACGCAAAGCTCGACACAATTTGGTTTGAAGCTTGTTTATGCCCACCCCCTAAGCCCACGCGAAGAGAAGGGCCTCACTCAAGCACTCGAGAAGGCGGCGAAGAAGTTCAAATTAGAGTATGTGCCTTGTGGTACTAAGGGATCCGACACAGCGCTAACACATCTTTGACAGTCCCACCTGGCTTCCCCAAGCGGTCTCTCCTTCCAACCTCGGCCTGCCAGCCGACCTAATCTTAAAGTCAACTGTCCAGAACAAGACGCTCTTTACATCCGAACGCCTCACACTCTTGTCACTCGATCATCTGTACACCTTCCGCACAGCTTTGCAAGCCTACGCCCGCACAAGGGCCACTACCCGGCTCGAGGATGCTGTCGACGAGTTACGCCGTCTGTTCCTTGCCAACGGGCGTCGCGCCTTGCGCAAGAGCACTCTGCTGGGTGCCTACCGATGGCTCGATCCTCTCAACGACGCTGCCTTGGCCGACGTCTGCCGCATGTACGAGCGGGCGTATGGGGGCATCGAAAGAGAAAGCGGCGTGGAGAACGATGTCGACCCCGCCCCGGGCTGGCCGTTGCCTGAGAGGAAACGGATCTCGGTCGTTACGGAGCAACCGGTAGCAAAAGGGCCGAGAATGTCAGTACGACGCAACCGACACACCGAGACCACCGCGCCACCGCAACATCGCGAGCCGGAGATTCAAACTCAGATCGTCGACCTAGCCAATGCCCTCGACAAGGAGATTCTCCTCTCCGGCGACCTTCTCCCAGAAGACCAATCCGAACTCGACGAGATCGAAGCCTGGTACCGCGAGATCCAACAACAACAGAACGACTTGCCCACATCGACGACCATCGAAATACACCCGCTACGCTCCCACCCCGCTGAAGATACTCCAGCAGTCGTCGAGATCCCCCCCCCCCCCTCGTCGCCGCCCCCGCCGCCACCGACATCCGCAACCTACCGGAACAGGCCCTGGCACCAGCCAGAGGAACCCACCCTTTCCGAAATGCTCCGCACAACCCCCAAACTCCGCCCGGCGCCCCCCGGACGATCGCTCGCCCTAAAGCTGCAAACAACATTTGATAAGCCTACCCGAGGCAGCGGCGCCGGCGGCAAGGTACAGCTTTTAAAGCCAACCGCCACAAAACCGCAGGCCCAAACAACAACAACAGAACGGCCCATCGAGCCGGTGCAGGAAGAGAACGAGGACGACGAGGAGGAGGAACTCACGGCGCGCCCCCACAGCGCCATCAAGTCGTTCGACAACGCGCGCTGGACAGTCGGAAACGGCGGTGCCAATGGCGGCGTATCGATTGATGAGCTGATGCTGCGTGGTAGCGTGGCTGATGGTGACGTTGGTGGTGGTGGTGGTGGTGGTGAGAATTATGGCCACCTGCAGGTGCAACCACAAGGAGACGATAGGGTCGGGCCGATGACGCCGAACGGGTACGATGATATCTCGCCCATCACCAGGGGCGAGTGGGGGTTTCTAATGTTTGGGAAGGGCAAGACGGCGGGGATTGGGACGTGTTAATTTTGGGTTCTTATGGGTTGATTTGGGGGTCCTGGTTTGTGACCGTTTCAGTGTATATCTTATTTTAAGCACATATCTCCCGGGCCTCACCCAAGAAAAGAGAGGAGGGGATACGTCACACGCAATATCAAACAGTATTTAAGAGAGGAAGGAAGCTGTTTGGGACTGTGTTATTTTAGGCCCCCATGCCCCTTTTTTGCTCAGTCAAATCCATCAATTCAAGTCTGAGTGATAATGCACTAAAATGTATCTGTCTGGGAGCCGCTGAATTGCTGAAAACGTAATAAAATTGATATCTAGAGAATCGTGTTTTTTTATTATCCTGTCCGGAGGACAATATTATATGTGTTTGCATTTAACCTTCTCGAAACCCTTCCTCGCCAGGCCCATAATTAGCCATAAGGTTATTGGCCTAACCCTAACACGACTCACTCGAGTTTGTAAATGTATGCGGCGGTATTTAACAGCGTTTTCGGAAAAAAACTGAGCGTAGCGGCGTTTAATAACATTTTTAAAACGAGCGATGCAAATGCGATAGACTTATCTCCATTTTATTGGGTTGATGGGTCTGACTTAGTGGTGCGGGGGCCAAGGTTAGAGATAACCAAGCGAAGCTTGGATGGATTTGCGTTTCGGACATATGGACTGTGTATGTGGAGGAAACAAAGAAGGAACGCTTGAAGTTGGTTTACTGGCCTTTTCCCCCAAAGGGCCAGAGGAACCTTTCACATTCGCCATATAGTACGAGACCTCGCCATGTTTCCAGGTAATGCATAGCCGGGCTTCGAAGCCACTCACCGCGATGCTGAAAACGGCATTACCGATCATCCTGACCTCTTTGCTGTTGCACTGGCTGAGCCAGCGGTTGAGGCCCTCTCCCATCTTCACGCTGGATGCAGATCCGCCCAGGCATTGGTTAATCGCTGCCCAAAAGCTCCTAGCTCCAGACGGGTCGTCGCCTTTGAACTCTATGACGAGGAATGGATAAACCAGGCTTTAGTTATTTGCGATGATTTCCGATCCCATTGAAATGAGTTGGGCTTGTTGCCGAGGAAAGGCGACATGGCGATCATACCTGTAGAGTACCTCGTACCTCTAGGGGTTTGTACCCGTGGAGGTGACGTTCAAACCTCATTTTGCCCAGGAAGTCGTTGGGCTCCGGGCCGTTTGGTCCTCGGGCCGCGATCGTATGTGATGCCTCGTCCGCTTCGTCGAGGCCCATCAAGAGCCTGGCTGTTACTGACACTCCCCCCCCCCGGGTGCGGCGGCGGTTGTTGCTGGGGTTATCTTCAAGTACCGGTTTTGTTGCCCGATTGTGACCTTTTGGATCTGTGTGGGCCGGATGTATTGTTCGGCGCTTTCCCGCAGATCCGGGTGGCAGGACCGGAGGTGGTCCCACCCCCTCTTCTTCTACGTCCTGGCCCAGCCGCACTGCGAACATCCCCACCCTTGTGTGATCCCGCCGGCCATGTCGACGAGCGGTTCGATGCCGTCCTTGAACTGGCTGAAGACCAAATTCACCCAGTTATTGTATATTGTTGTGTCGTCCAAGAGCGCCGCCGACAGTCGCACCAGCTGAATCGGTCCATCTAGGTTACTAAAATGCTCTTTGGCATGAGGCGGCTGCCAACTCGGGGTCCAGAGCTTACCTAGGTACTGATTTTCGCAAGCAACATCGTGCCAGTGTACGAAGTTCTTGATTGGCGAGTTCTTTTCGTCCTTGCACCGTTCCGTTGGGAATTCGGTACGTTAACCACCAAAAGTCCAGTAGCCCTCGCCATTGTAGGCCCACACATGCCCATCGTTTGCTCTGCCAACGCCCCTTGCTCCCTGTGACTGCCATCCGCTCACGGCAAAAAGGCATTTGCAGAGCAACATTTGTCTCCCTGTGACTGCCCGCAAAAAGATCATGGTGCCGGCGTGGCACTCGGGCAAGGAATATCGGTCGTTTGGGCGTTCATGGTTGGGGTTCCTGTAGTGTTGATGAAGAAGGTTAGGAAAGATGATCAAACTGAGCAGAGAGAACCTTTTATTATTAGTTTAGGCAGTTGCCACCTTGAGTGGCTAGCCCAACCACCTGACTTTTTCGTGACTTCCCAGTGACGCACCGGTGGCCGCCACATGGGACGAGCAGTCATGACGATGCAACGATCCTCGCCCGGCGACCGCCCCCCATTTTTTCTCCTTTTTTGGGTGGGTAGGAGGGCAGCTAGCAATCTGGCAGTGCATGGCTGGAAGTCAGAAATGTGATAATAGTTGATTCCCAGGTTAATGACCCAAATAGCTTCAAGATGATCAAGACCATGTCGTTATCACGTGTTGTACATGCTCTTGCACCGTCCTGTTGAAAATAGTGACGTCGTCAATATACACTTGGCAAAAGTGACGGAATCGATATAGAACGATGGTCATAAATCGCTGAGCTTATGCCGGAGAGTTCTTGAAGCCCATCAGTGCGACGTTGCTGACCTCAAGGTCGGGAGGGCTAACAAGAACCATGCGGTTACGATGCTTCTACCACACTGGGACTTGATAGAAAAAGGCCGATACATCCAGGACGGTAAAGTGTCTAGCGTCGACGAGGCCGTTTATGATCTCGTCCTGGCTAGGTAGGTAGGTAATGGATAAGCGTCCTCAGATCTCCTGCCCAGCTGGTAATTATTCTTATCTCCGCCCCTTTTATCACCCACAACAAACTAGTACATCCAAGTGTCCATTCTGCTACTCGTTGCCATCCTGACCCTCATAATCAAGGAAAATCACCGTGGCTTTGACTAACCCTCCAAAGAGACAAACCCAGGAGGCTTTCAAGATGAGTTCCCAGAACCTATCCAACGAGTTCCACTTGGACTGCACCTGTTGAGAAGGTCCTGTGCCTGTTTTCCGAGCTCGCTTTGCCGTTCAATCTGGTCCGCAAAATAGCGAGCTCTCGAGTAATTTTCGTCTGCCAAGGCCCATTGTGCCAACAACAGCTGGGCCTTGGGTATCGCCGCCATGTCCGGACACGCGCTTGTTTCCGCCGGCTCACAGGTTTCCTCGCCCTCGACCAGACACATTTCAAGATATGCCGTAGCCTCGTGGCGATTCTGCGCCTCTTCATACAGCTTTCCCAACTGAAATAGCAGCTCCACTTTTGTCTGCCTTGCAGCCACCCCGTCTCGGTCTTCAGAAACGTTACACGCCGCAAGAGCCCTCTTCAGGATCTTGATCGCCTCCTCAAAACGAGACATAGCCGCGAGGCCGGTAGCCGCTGCTTGCAAAAGATCCGTGTCACCGGGCCGGATTGTGGTGGCCCGGAGATAGTAATGTAACGATAAAACCGGCTTCTCGAGCGCCTCGTATGCCTTGCCGAGCCCGAAGAGGGCTCGGTAGTCATGGCGCGCATGGCTGATGGCCTGCCGGTACGATTCGACGGCGGCGTGGAGGTTCTGCACTTTCAGGTACTCGTGGCCGAGTAATGTCCAAGCAGCAGAGTAAGCACGGTCGAGGGCTAAGGCTCGTCTAAATGATGCGATGGCAGCCTCGGGTTGCGACGAGAGAGAGTAGTAGTTGCCGATGACAAGGTTTGTTTCAGGTCGGTACCGGTCGACAGATGTGGCAAGCTGAGCTAAGAAGGCGAGCCTATCGCGGGCACCCAAGTTGTACAAAGCATTGGAATAGTTATCAAAAAAATCAAGGTATCGCGGGTCCAGGGAGAGGACTTTTGAAAACAGGAAGTTCGCCTCATATAGATCTGTGCTTCCGGTTAATACCTAGACTGCTATAGCGGCTGTTTGCCGATAGTCGTACCCCCACTACAGAGAGGAGAAGCACGAGGGCTAGTGGTACCTTTCATTTGATAGAAGGCGAGGGCGCGCTGGCTTTCGAGGAACAGGCTGCGTGGGAATACACTTTGCAACTGAGCAATTTCAGACACAAGAGCCGGGCTGGCTTGGCGCAGCTCTAGACGGCAGTGCAGCGAGAATATGAAGGCCATGATCCCCGGTTTCAAATGGGACTGCACTGAGTTGAGCTGTATGTGCCTGTTTAATCAAGTGTTCCCATTTTCGACAACACCATGGGCGGAGTGGCAGCAAGGGACTCGGATGGATGGCAGCTTACTTACATGCTGTGTGCTGCGGACAAGGCTGCTGAGTTCTTGCCAGGCGCCCCAATTCCACGGGTTAAGGGAGACGCTTCTCAGTAACCATGTTATTGCAAGGTCCTCGTTTCTGTCTTTGGCCAGAACTAATCCGTATCTGTCGCGAGCGTCAATCACTATTGATATCAAGAAGATTGGGGAAGGATTTATTAGAAAGCTCCTCACAGGTATTCAAGCCAGCCTCGGCTAGAATCATATTCGACGGTCACGTCGTCTATCTGATCCAAGGACGCTCGCAAGATAGGACGGATGTCTGGCAGCTGCCGATTCACAATTGCCTCGTTGTCCGCGGGCCCGAGGATTTGGGCTCTCTGTTCCGTTTTTTGTTTTTCGCCTGCAATCAAGAGTGCGTAGAGGGCAAGAAAGAGAGACTTTTGGCTGATTTTTCCATGCACGGTGGCGTCTTGCCGTTTGCTGTTGGGATTCTTAGCGGCCTGCCGAGGTAGGAAGACAGCAGCACATCGCTGAAACTCGCGGCAGTCGAACAGCGACTTGGCTAGAATATACTTGGGAAACTCGATTTGTTCCAAGCGTAGCTGCGTGGGGTTTGTCGGCGGGCTAAAAATGCGCCCAACAACAGACAGCACATCGTCCCCCACGCCGTCTTCTGGCAGCGAGCTGAGGAGTGCCGCCATCCTGTTTGGCATTTAATGTTAACTAATCAACGTGGACGACCGTAATATTGCACCTCACCATTTGGAAGATTGATATAAACATCGCTCGGAGCACCCTACCACTGCTTGCTGGAGCGAGAGTCGAAGCTCAAGAGTTTCGGCCTCCGAAAGAGCCATGGTGAGGTTGAGGAAGATGTGATGGATTGACGAGGAAGGAGGAACCAGATACCACGGTCGTGAAGGCGGTCGTTCACGGTGCCATACAGTCCACCGCCAATCACCAACGTCGAAAACAAAGTCGCGTCGAAAGTGTTCGATCGAGTGGGCTAAATACCTTATCTGGATTGGGTAGTTAAAATACGCGATATAAATGTTTTGCTGCAGTAAATTCCTCGACTTTGCGGCATCGTATCCTCCCATATTAAAACGATTGGTTTGGCTACCTAAACCACAATACGTCTCAATCTTTTACAGACGTTACCGGGAGGCGGTTTACTCGCGCACACTTAGCACATACATCAAAACTACCTACCCACCTATGTATGGTATCCGTAAAACGCCCAAGTTATCCTACCACCCATACCGCCCCGCGGCGTCCTTCTGGCTGCTCTTGGCCCTCGCGAAGCTCTCTTCCAGCGCTTCCTGGTTGCTCTGCGCCATGTTGACCACCTGCCGCAGGCTGTGCTTGCCCGGCGCGATCGACCGCACAGGGTTGTACGCCGGCTGCGCGGCGCCCGACATCCGCAGCGCCTCGTTGTGCGCGTACTCGCGCTCCATGTCGAAGGATATAACCTTGGCGTTGGCGGGGAGCGAGGGTGCGTTGGAGGAATCCGAGCGCCCGAAGAGCTCGCGTCGTGCTGCGCGCGAAAGCCCGTCGGTTAGGGAGGTTAGGGTTTGGTGTTGTTGCTGTTGCTGTTGTTGGGTGGCGGGCTCTTGGGGCTGGTAGCTTGGGTAGGCCGAGGTGACGTCGCTTTCTTCGTCGGGGAGGGTGGATTCTGAGGCGGAGGGGAAGAGCGGCTGGTAGCTGCCTGTTGTGGCGAAGGTGGTGGGGTTTGCCATTGGCGTAGTCTCATCGTCCTCCATGGAAAAGAGTGAGACTTTCTTTTTGGGTGGAGGTGCTGCACTTGACTCTGTGGGAGGTACCGTCGTCGATGGCTGGTTTTGGGGGGCTGCTGCACCCGAAAATGAGCTAGCTGCCAGAGGTGTCGGGTCCTTCTTCTTGCTCTTCGCCGGCGCCTTTTTCCTGGCCACCGAAAGGGGCTTGAACATGAGCGGTTTGCCCACGAGCTTCACTTCCTCCTCCGGTTTCTGTCCTTCAGGTATCGAGGGGCCGGCGCGGGACTTGGAACCAGGCGCAATGTCGCCGTCGACATCCGTTGATCCATCTTCGCCGTCCCCCCTAGCAAATGCCGGCTCGGCACCAGTGCGTAGATGTACACCGGGAGCGGGCGCAGTACCGGATTTCCTCCCTAGTGTTGCAGGCCCGGTTGATGTTGTTGCTGCTGCGGCCGTTCTTTTGGGTGGTGGCAAGAATGAACCAAGACCGCTGAACCGGCTAGTACCAACAGTCTTTACGCGCTTCGCCGGCGGTTGTTCATCCTCGGCGCTGGCGTCGGGGGCTGCACCTGCGGTTGAGAGGTTGACGACAATCTTGCCGGGGCCGGACGAGCGATCGAGGAGCTTCTGAAACGGTTTCTTCGTTGCTGCAGCGGCGGGATTCGGCTTAGGCTGCTGTACTGTTTCGGTGTCGGATTCCGAGTCGGAGTAGTCGACTAAGCCCATAATTGCGATTATATAGTGGCCAGTCTCAGAGATGTTGTGTTGAATTGATCGATGGCGGAAGAAAGTCTCGTCTTCGCGATTCGACGTCAGAGCAGCTTGAAGTTGAGTGCCAAGCAGCAGGGGTCCAAGAAGCGGCTTTCCAGTGTGGACAGTGTTCGTCGAATCAGCTATCAGTTAGTGCAGAGCTAGGTGGTCCCTATTATACACTAACAATAATATACGGTGTGCACTATATGGACAGTGCACAATTCACGCCCCACCTGCGCGTTTCGGAGAAGATGTCACCCTCAATCCCTCCCATGCCTTCCTTACCAACAAACCACCTACACACCAACCAACATGCCGGCCAAGTGAAATGCGCGCGAAGGCCGCCACTGCTTTTGGTTTATTTGTATGGCCAGATCGAAAACTGTATTTTGTTGTTGATGTAGCGTCATTCTCTGGAATTTCGTCCTTGTATTACTTCCTTCAATCCGACTCCCCGCAGATCCCCTCGTCCCATATACGCACCCCACACATTGATGAACTCCCGGCTGTCGCGAGGAATCTAAACACATTGAGCACATGCCAACATGTCGGTGATTCAGCTTGAAGAGTAATCGCTCCTGTCTTACTCTAGAGATTATGCGCGCTGACCATATCCAGTCTGGTCTTGTACCAGCTACGCACGAGCTACCTCAATGACATCGCCGATGGTGTCGGTGAGCGTCTGTTTACCTTGAATGAGGGCTTCTTGAATTCAGCTCCATTCAAGGCCGCAGGATGGCGCACAAATCCCGCCCTCATCAAGCGGACTCACTCTCCTCCGATCCCCACCGCGGTTGCCTCCGAGTATTTCCAGGCACCCCGCCGCGCGGGTCTGACGCTCGAGGACGAAGGGGAAGAAGGCGGTCTGTTCTCCGGCAGTGTACCCGATACCGTGGGCCCGAGCATGGCAACAAAGCGCCGCCGCCGCCGGGAACACATGGAGGAGGAGGACAGCAGTGACCTCAGCGACGAAAGCGACGACGAACCAGACCAGCGCGCTGCTCAACAGATCAAGTTTGCCAAAATGCCCGTGAGGAACCGCTCGGGATCTTCGCCTCTTCAATCGTCGAACCTCCGCCAGACCACCACCATGTCTTCACCCCGGCCGGCCGGAAGGAGAGGCTCCCAGTCAGCACTCGAGACAGTCAAGGAGAGAGCACGGCGCGATACCGTCACGAGTAGCGAGGTCTCATCCGAGAACGAGTTCGACGCCTCCGGCTTCCATAAGCACCGAGAGGCTGCGCGGGCTGCCGCTGCCCGCGCTGCAAAGCTATCTGTCAAACTCAACACAGAGCCTACCGAAGGCGTGAGACGCCAGGCGAGCGATCTCCTTGAAGACGAAGAGGACGATTCGGACGCCTCGGACATGTCGTCGGCTCTCATCGAAAGCATCGACTCGGCCTCGATCTTGGAGGCCGTCAAGAATCCTTTGAATGCGTCCCTTACGCATCAGGTGGTTGGCACCCCTCCTCGTGCCTTCACACGAAGGTCTACCATACGCAAGTCCGCCATTCATGCGCCTTTGCACGCGCCCATTGGAGAGCTGCCTCCGCCACGACCTATGAGCACGATACGGCCCTTGAGCATGATGCAGCCAAAGAGCTTGCTCTCTACGGCGCTGAAAGCAAAGAAAACCAAGCCGGCCCTTCCTTTTGATACGTTCGCCTCCTTGTCAGGCCAAGGCGACCCGAACCCCATCATGCTACGAATTTACGCGCCTTTCTCCGAAACGCCTTCGCGGCCCTTTGAGGTTCTTATCAGGCGGACTGTACACCAAGGGGAAGGCGGGGATAGACCTGTGACGGTGGCCGATCTGATCGGGTTAAGCCTATGGCGATACAATGAGGAAAAGCGAGAGCCGTCGCTCCCCCGCGACAAGCTAGATGTGAACTGGTGGACCCTACGTATGGTCGAGGAAGACGGCGAGATTGACGACGACTTCCCGCCTCTCGAGCGCAAGAAGGGGCTCATTTCATTTACCACCGTCAACAACAAGGCCGGCCGATCTCGTTCCAACTCTAGACTCTACGACATTTTCGGCCTGGTGCAGGCCTCGCCCGATGAGTTTGAGGAAAACAAACGCAACACACCGCAGTTTGAGCAAGAACCCGCCGAGGAGGAGGAGGACAAGGACCCGACACCCCGGAACACCCCGCGACCCGACGCTGGCCTGCCACCGCCGTCTCGGCCCCGAGAAAACCCGCTCCTGAACACGGCGTACCGCGCGAACACCACAATATTTGCCGACATCCCGCAGTCCACGCAGCCGGCCAACGTGTCTTCGCGCGGAGAGAAGAGGCTTTTGCGTATCCACATACACTCGTCTGACATTGCCCCGGGGCAGATGATCACATTGGACGTGAACACAAGACACCTGGCTGGCCGAGGTTCTTGATATTGCC